TGTAAAGTACCCTGTTGGTTGTTGAACATGAAGACAATTTTAGAGGAGTCCGGCTATGCCTGCCTATATACACATGACTATATTAACAAACCATTCCATCTGCATGAACTAAGACAAAGATTAAAAAGATATATTCATCCAGAAATTCAACTCAGCACTACAAGCACAAGGGCAAAGGAAAAATCAAGGCAACAAACTGAGAACATACAAAACATTCAAAGTACTATACGACAGAGAACCATATTTAGACATCCCAAATTTTGAAAACCGCAGAGCCATGTGTAAACTCCGTATTAGCGACCACCCTCTACACATAGAATCTGGCAGGCATAGCCGTACACCGTTACAAGATAGACTGTGTACATTCTGTAACAATTCGTGTATTGAAGATGAATCGCATTTTATGCTTGACTGTAAATTATATGATAACGAACGTAAATCACTGTTCAGTTCAATTAAGCTACGACAAAAAATGTAAAACATTATCAAAGGAAGACACCTTTAAATATATTATATCATGTACAAATATAGACGTCATCAATGAAGTATGTAAGTATATTTCAAAATGTTTCAAAAAGAGAGAAGAAGCCATTAGAACTTAGATCAATACCACTTATATTTATATTTCTTTTTATCTTATTTTTAGCATTGTATACCTTAGACCTAATGTTAGCCTTTTATATTAATATTGTTTTAGTAATCTCTAGTACATTGTACATCCATGCATTTATCCCTCCGGGGAATGAACATGCAATAAAGTTTCATTAATAAAGTCAGTAATTAAGTATTGGTTAGTAGATCGATGTGGTATTCGAATTATTATTAATTATTAAATATCATTTGTTTTATACATTTTTAGTACACGGGGTCAGATACTAACAACGGAAAATGTGTAAGACTTTCATTTGATGTTTTGGTACATGTATATATGCTTAAGTTTTAAATTATGTGGGAATTGTCTATACATTTAAAAATATATCATTGGTGTGTAGTGCTAATACAGGTAGATGAATATGTTTTTCATAAACGAATAAAACTATTGTCCTTATAAAGCACATTTTGTGTTTGATTCCTTCTGTGACTTTCTCGTCTTATCAGAGATCACCACTAAAATCTGAATACGTGCATATGATACCTTTTTAAGTTGGTTGATCTAGATTTAGAAGCATTACGTGATAATCACAAATAGTGCTAGAAACACTAGCAACATAGCAAACACAAACGCACAGTCATACTCAAAACAAGGACATTGCTCTCTCTCTCTCTCTCCCTCACACACACACACACACACACACACACACACACACACACACACACACACACACACACACACACACACACACACACACAGATACATTGTACACACACACACACACGCACACACACATACACAGGTACACACACACACACACACACGCCCACATACACACAGACAACCTCAGACTAAAACAAAAGCCTCCTCCAAGCCTGCCCTGGGACATATGCCCCTGTAATCACCAGGCTAACCCATGCGTTAGGCTGTCAGACAGGTTATGTGAGTTACTGAAGCCTGAGTCAGGAATGCAGGACCGAGTAATGAGGCTCAGACAACTCTAGTGTGGATTTGTCTACAGCATACATCCGGAAAGAACTCGTCACAGAAAAGCTACAGCAAACAGGTGAGTAAAAACATTATTTTTCCTACAAGCACAGGATACTATTCAGTCCAAAGCAGTGACTTGTATGTAGAAAAACATGTCCGTTTCAAGGCCAAGCCATTCACAACGCGTATGCCAATACATGGGACAAAGTGACTGGCTTCAAACACCTGTTAACATGCCGCGTTATGGAATTGGAGTTTCGCCAAACCGATGTAACTTACTAGTATCCTTACACAAGAACTATGTTTGGCTAATGTTTGACACGGACAGAGAAAATTCTTATCAAATGTAGTAAGAAAGGAAGGGATCGTTCTTACATTTACAATATACTCGTGACCACATTATATACACGGACTGACCCAGGATTGAGGGCAGGGTTAGTTTCTATATTTTACTGCCGATACCGCCATATTCATGATACAAACTCCGATTCACGCCAATCCTACCACAATTACACATGGTACAATGTATGGCAAAGTACAGAAAAGGGGAATGAATTGTAAAACCTAATATATTCTGATTACTCAAACAACAAGGGCTAGCACAAGTCTTTGATTAAGCGTTACAATCGAGTTGGGCTAATCACAAGTTTCGGTATTATTAATAAAGCAGTCTTTTACATATATGCCTATTTTTGTATTGTGGGAATCATTACATGTAAAGATATATTCAAACGTGTCTCTGGCATCGAGACTCTAAATCTAAGTATATGATATTGGCGTATATTTCTCTGGTTGCCCAGTGTGTGTTCGTCTCTCTCCTCTCTACCCCCACCCCCTATACCTAATTGACCCCCCCCCTAAAACCTTATAGTTGTGTGTTGATGCAGGTGTAGTTATCACACTCTATGGGGGAGTGGACGATAGCGGTTATTGACGTGGAGGAGGCCCTTCCTCCGGCCCTGCTAGCCACCATACCCAAACCTCCAGCATCACTATCAGTCGCTGACAAAGATCCCGCTCAAAAGGTCCCGGTCTCGGAGCCCAACGGTGGGAATCGAACCCTCTTCTCCTCCTTAATTGCAGACAAACCAGAGGTCCCGGTCTCGGATTCTAGCGTTGGGAATCGAACCCTTCCCACATCCCTAGTCGCAGACATAGAACCTAAACATCCAGACTCGAATCCCGCACCAGAAGTCCCGGAGCTCCCCACCGTTTGGACCGTAGCTACGAAGACCGAAAGTTCTGCTGCAGAGTCAAGACCAGAAAACACACCAGAGCCTAAACCAGCTTCTCCAGCTCAGCCCAGACGGAGATATTTTTCAGACTTGGTTAGGCTTAAGCTTCCTTCAAGTTATCTGAGGGCGAACGCTGAGCGACAAAAACTGGATTTGTGTGGCCCTCGGTTTAATAGTCGGAATGTGATGCAAGATTCAAAGCTGTTTCACACCGAAGCAAGTATATTTTAAAAGGCACAAAACGCAAATAATTCTTTGTCTATGCAACTCGAGGAGCTATCTGCAAAACGCAAAATAATTCTTTGTCTAACTGCCAAATCTTCGTCGCTCAGCGGTCGCAGCTTATAGTAAAAACGGCGTGCATCTTCTTAGGTCTTCCTTACACCCAATGCATGGCACAATCATCGTTGTCTTCTTCACAAAAGGTGTTTTCACAAAAGGAGCAGTCACTGTGGTTCTACTCAACAAGATGGTGGCCTGTTGCATGAGCTTATCCGTACCACCTAATACTATGGACTCCTTATTTCAGGGAAACAGGCGGCGCTAACACACATGTAATTGCTTTCTGGTATGGTTTCTTGGAAGGGTCTGGTATAACGCATGGTCTCTTAAAGGCTGGAGTATGGCTTCCCTTTCCTTGCTGCATGCCACCCCCAAGAAAGCATGACACCTTCCCATACCCTACCTAATATCATCTGTTGGTAGCTACTAAACATACTGACATGTCTCCTTGTGTTTTCTTCTATACACAGTTTGCCAAGATCAGCGCCATCAACACACTAGGCAGATCGACACGACCAAAGCCAGCGGATCCAGAAGACACCAGACTACACAGTGAACCTCTAGAACCTGTCATTGAACCCCTAGAACCAGCCATACAATACACTACCGTTCAACAATCAGCCATGGCAGACGACAGCGCCCAACTCCAAGTGCACCCCGAGCCCGTAGAAATTCACCGGGAGGCTGAAGTGAAGTCTTCGGTGGCACCTGCGAGCGACACCGAGCAGGATTCGGGAACGTACGATGGAGTGGACAACGCGAGCCTCAGCTCGGATAACACAACCAACTCGGACCTCTATACTGACACAGGTATCTATAAAAAACTATTATCAATTCCTAAAATCAACCATTTATATTGTGTGTTGGATGTCTTGTACAACGTAGGCGATCAAGTACTCCCCAATGCACGGTTTGCCCAAAGATTGGTGTGGTTTCTTCAATCATACTTGTTTGCCTATAGTTATCAAGTGGTAGAGTTATCAAAATAATAAAAGCACTTGAATCACAGCATGTTATACTTGACATCGTATATGCATTGTATACACAAGTGATTGCATAGGTACACGTCTAGTTGCAGCCACTAGATACCCTAAACTTCAATCTTCAGCCTGCTATATACATACATGTAGCTGTTTGGCCGCAAACTTATATTCAGGTTATGAAGGTTCACAAATGAAATATATGTTACAGTAACAGTAATATTGAGTTGATGTCAAAATTTGTCGTATCCACAGAAGACCAACCGGAACAAGAGCCAGAGTCTGTATATGAAGAAGTGAACCCAACAGAAGCTGGCAACAGTCAGGCTGCACCAGGGACAGGTAGGAATATCACCTAGAAGTTTTGTAACATCACCCCCCAACAGTCAGGCTGCACCAGGGACAGGTAGGAATATCACCTAGAAGTTTTGTAACATCACCCCCCCCCAAAAAAAAAAATTCAAACCCCCACGTTACTGAAAAGGTGTTTCATCTCCTCTTCCACTGTTTCAGAGAAAGAAGACCAACCCAAAAAGTTAGAATTTAGAGCCAGCATTTAGACTAGACTGGCCATGTTATGTTGTTCTTCATTGTTCATCTATTTCATTGGCCTTAAATAAACTTCACTTATTTATGTGTCTGTGTTGTATGCAACTTTGTTCACCACCAAATTACCAACCAAACAAAGCTATTCAGGGACCAAGTGACTTTACATTTTCATAATGTATTGTGGACATGTATGATCCTCAATAGTACAGTTAACTTATCCACAGCCAGTAGTATCTAACTTGAAGTTATGTTTGAATCCACAATCTTTAGATGGGGCTAAAACTGAAGAAACACCAACAGCTACAGAACAAGGTGACAACAAGGACACGAAGGAGAAAAAGAAGAAAAAGACTCCAGGGTGCACAGGTAAATAAATTCTAAACCATGTATATACATGAAAAAGTTGCTGTTGTATGTTTTAGATACTGTATGTTTAAATTGAGGTTTATACAATTTTATTTTTATTCTTCACAGGAAACTTATTCAGCTGTATGAAGAAACCAGGATCGAAGAAGAAAAAGGAGACAACAAAAAAAGAAGGTACTGAAGAACCAGTGGAAGAAAATGAGGAGGAAACAGAGAAGAAAGATCAGAATGAAGTTGAAGATAAGGAAGAGAAGAACATCTATGAGGGAATAAAGGAAGATGAAGGGGAGGGAATATGTAACAATTGAGAAAGGAGAAGCTTAAAAAAGAAGATAACAGTGATGAAAAAGACCCCACCCTTATTTATACTTGGACATATCATCTTACTGTCTTCTATACTGATAGGCTGGTATCAAAGGCTACTACAACTGAACAAAAAGCTAGAAATTGAAACCTCATACGTGAGGCATTGTAAAAGTATGGCACTACCACAAGAGAATATGTTGAAACTGTTCAGAGCTGTTGAAAAATGAACAAGCCACAAGTTCTGCAAAAAGGAGCTAGAATGCTTCTTAACACTCTTATGTGAATTTCTGGGTATTCATCCATAATCTAAGACAGTACCCACTTTGTCTGACTTAAAACCACATGTCAGCATGAGAAACTTTAAAGATGTTTGACGGAGAACACTTCTTTTGCATATCCTTAACAGTTTTTTTTAACCACACACTAAATGTTAACATATGGCATCCAGAAACCCTGATACTGTTTTCTATAATTTGAGTATGTTATTTTTTTTACTATAACATGTAAAGTGTAGGTAAAGGGTGAATTCTTAACTTATATCATGTTGTGGAGACAAGAACTGTTAAGTTTGTCAAATTCATGATCATACTCAAGGCAGCTGGAAATATTTAAATGAAAACAGGGATTTGGAATAAGTTGTTAAGTTTTTCTTTATTGTTATTTGAACTCTTCATAAACTTGGAGCATTATACGATAGCCTTTAGAAAAAAATAACGTTACTTTGCCATATTTGATTAATTAGACTTTCCTCGGCATATGAATTTCTTCAGTCCAAAGCACATTGTGCTGCTGTTTTGATGTTGTTTCTTTGCAAAGAAACTGTATTTTCCTATTATTGTAACTTTTCTTGGCTTTCTTTTTATTTATCAAATTGCACCAACTCAATGTAAAATAACATAAATATATGGTAAATGTTTAGTATCTTCAAATATCTCATCTTAAACTATAGGTTATAGTAGTTTCTGTAGTTGATGTAGACTTGTACAGCTTTTACACTGTATGTCTGATGATTCAATGTTAATAAACATTTTCTGAACAGAAAGAAACACTTTTCTGTTGCAGACAGTCCTTGCCTCTGTGAGACAGGCATGAAATAGTACAATAACTATCATGGTGTTCATGTGTCCAGGTATAGCTTGGCAAGTTGTTGACAAAGATGTTCCTACGAAACACCTAAGGAAATAAGATAGAAGAAGACATCAAAATGCAGTTTTCTATCAAATAACAACAAACCAACCAAACAACCAACAAACAAAACGTTGCTTTGCTAAAAGCAACAAATAATTATGGCATACACAAGAACAGTGAAACCTGCACAAGAAGACCACTCAGGGGACCGATAAAATCTGATCTATGTGGACAGGTGGTCACAAGTAAAGAGTCTGACACACTTAAGGATTCTTATACTTGAACCAATGGCCACAAGTATAGACACACTTTAGTTTAGGATTCCTATACTTGAACCAATGGGAAAGATAATCTAAGTTTGACCACCAATAAGTACTAGTCAAATTGGCCTTTATGTAGAGGTGGTCACTTGTACAGGTTTGACTGTATATTAAGTTGTTTGAAGTTAAAACTTTCAATCCAACACAAAAAGTTCTCTTCACCTAGAGCTTTTGACCAGTCACTCTGGTCTTCCTCAGTAGACTGACCCAGTGAGGCTTGTCACATGGCTTCTCTGAAGTGTGACGTCAACACTCTCACAGGGTCAGTCTACTGAGGAAGACCAGAGTGACTGGTCGAAAGCTCTAGGTGAAGAGAACTTTTTGTGTTGGATCAAAAGCTTTAACTTTAAACATATAACTACCAACAAAGATGAACTTTCATGATTGTATACAAAGTTATTTAGTTCATACCACCTTGCACATGGAAATTTGGCATGTCGAACAACAGTTTCCTACTGGCTGGGGCTGCGTCTTTCTCCGCTGTAGAAAACTGGTTAAGGAAAGTGTGGACTTAGAGAACCTAGCAAAGTCTTTGCAAGACTCCTAATGCTTTAATTCATATCTACATGTACAGTGTAAGTATAAGTGCACAACAATTGCATATGGTACAATGTATGGTATCTTCTGTGATTAAAAAGTAAGGTATCTACTGCATAACAACAAACGTACAATCACTAAGTTAGACTAATCTGCACATTGGCAGAATTTACGGTTCAGGATATTCAGATTTTTGATGTTTGGACAATGTTGCATCAGAATTTTGCCTGTTGCAGAAAATATCTTTTAGGACACAATATTTGAAAACTATAGATATAAGGTTATCCTTAAAATTAATATGCAAAAATTAATACAACCTTAAATGAGATGTTTTGCCTAGTACAGGCTTCTCACTGGCATCGTATGTTCTGCCAATGTGCTAGACTAATCTAACTTTACAAAAGATTATGTAGTACATGATATAGTTTGGGATGAGAAGGTGCATTAGTTTACAAAAGGATATTTGTGGAGCAGTTTGAAGAGCCCAGTGCTACCTTCTAAAAACAAGGAATCATTATACCTTGTTTTTAGGTGGTAGCTGTTTTAAGTTAGGTTATATGCAAGTATTTCATTTGTGTTGCTCTTCTTTCTCTGAATGTGTATACATGGGCAAAGTGCATGACTTAAAATGAATTAACAATTAAACATGCAATGATATATTTTAAGAAAGGATATTTGTGTAGCAGTTTGAAGAGCCCAGTGCCAATGTTCATGGGTATCCCCAGGATGATGCACTCGCTCACACCACAGATGGCATCTTCCTGTCCATGGTACGACGCATCGAACAAGTGGTCAGCTGTCTTCTCAAACTGGAGAAAAGCAGTAACGGATTGCATCACTTAATGTTGGGACACTGAGTTGACTTCCAAGCAGATCCTAGTGTGGCAAAAGACAGTATCAAATTGGCCAGGCAGTATCCATTGGCCAGAGAGGGCCCAATACGCCACCCAAGGTTGGTGGGGGTAGCGACAAAAAAAACAGGCCATATATAAAAGGTAATGATCTTCCCCCATCAACCTCTGCTTGAAGAGTAGCACTGCGTGGCTGGCCAGTGAAGTTGCTGAGACTCTAACCCACAGGGGTATGGATACTTGCTGTGCCCATGAACCAAAGGACAGAGGCAAATGGTGAGCTAACATCAAGCCCCAGCTGTACAGTGCAAGCACGTCTAATCCTTGGTTACGAGGGACAACAGACGATAAACCGGATAGACAGAGAGGTTACTCTGTTCTATACCACAAATTAAACAGGCAGTTGGCTGTCTTCTTGAACAGGCCAAAATTATTATACATGTATGATCGTTACTGTGATTGAAAAACTATGTAATACTATGTGTGTGTTGTACAAATTACATGAATCAAACAGGTGGTCTGCGGTCTTTTCAAACTGGGAACAACGGTAAGGACTTGGTCACATTGGAGTTGTGTGGCACAACAGTTAGCAGAACATTTGGCTCAAAACCAAGAGGTCCCAGGTTTGAATCCTGTCAACTCAACAACCTTGTGCCCTTGGGAAAGGCACTTTGCACGCTAGTTTCTAAAGTACAAGCTGTGGAAGACCAGACTGTAAGGTTTGAACCACAGACTCACACTGGGAAGGACCCCTACTCTTTATGATAAGATGTGTACCAGAGTACAATCTTTAACATGCTTGAGGTGTGTCTCTCCTCAAACACGTGACTTCAAGTTTTACCTCCCATCCAAGAGCAGTTACTCTGTGCTGTAGCATGAATCAAACTGGTGGTTGTCTGACTTTTCAAAGAGGAAACCAGCAGTAACACATGGAGGTTGCAGTCTTGAATAATTGATTCTTTTATTACTTACTGAAGCCAGCATCAGCACGCTTTCCTTCATCTTTGCCAGCCCGAATCTTGTGATTCCCAGAACTTCTCCCTACAGAAACATAAAATATTAGTAAAAAAAAATATGTATCAATCAAGTAAGTTGTGTATGTTTGTTGTAAATGTTCTAGATTTTGTTACAACACTCAATCTAATCTAAACCTGTGTCTTGACCTGTTGTCAATGTCAATCAATAAAGAAAGAAAGAAAGAAAGAAAGAAAGCATACATGAGAGAAGGATTTTGTGTTTAAGATATACCAGGACAAAGAAAAGACTCGAACCATACCAATTTGTAGTACAAGTAGACATCTGTTTTTCTTTTTAAAAGTATTTATATATAATCCTAAACATGTACCTTGTAAGTCATGAGGTCTGCCAGCAGCATGACATGTCTGATGTCTATACTCATGCCATGACTGGACATGGTGTACGTGATCTCATTCATAATCGTCACCCTGGAATAAAAAAAAAAACAGCATACAGTAAAGACAGTCAACTTTCACATTTTTCAACATAAATTTTGTTTTAGTGATTTTCCTGAGTGCAAGGCCAAGAAACTACTTCTAGGCACTTGACTAAGTTACTGGAACAGCAAAATTCTCTTTAAGTCAGAAACATCAATGCTCGAGACAAGATTGACTCCCTGACAGTGACTTCATTTGGATCCACAAATAGCTTGGCTACTTGTGGTCCTTAACATGTAACGTTACATTGTAATACATACAAAATCACACAATACTGTCCTACACTAAAACACAGGGTAACCACAAATAGCACCATTCATAAAATACATGGTCCACATTACCAAAATACAGATACTGAAATAAGATAAGTAAAGCATGTAAGAAGAGTTTATGTAACAGCTGTCCTGGTGAGACATGTGGTACAGGAATCTTTCTTCTCAGCAATTGCTTTAAGTTTTGGCAGTTTGATGTGATGAGAGTGAGAACTATCTGTATGACTCAGTAGGAGAAGCAGGAGATATGAAGGCTGCTTTAGGCTTACCTCGCTGCCTCAATGCCCAGAGTTTTCTCCACATCAAAGGTGTTGTTGGATGTTGTCTGGGTTCCCTTTACACCTATAATAAAAACAAAGTTTTTTTATCAATATTACTGCATCCAACTTGCAATGTGTTATCCTATCTCAACTGTGTCAAAAGCTCTAAAATATATTATATGGGGATTCAAAGAAATATCGAACTGCCAGACAAAAATGTTTGCTGGCAAAGAACAAAATTACATTACATATTACTTTTAGTAGTTTTACACAAGGAAGCCTGTAGCATGTTACGTGGCTTGTTTTGGGGCTATTTCAAATGCTTTAATCATAAAATAATGCTGAGAATATGCTAAGAAATGACAGCAAATTTCAATATCAGATATATTTCCTCATCCAGAATATTTTTTCTCATTTTGTTGGCTGAGATGTGAGTACCTGGAGTAGCGATGACTGCCCTCAGGTTGTCTCCCTCCACCAACAGTTTGTACTGCTGCTGTCCTCCCTTCTCATCCAGGTGGATCACTGCTCGAGACACCGAGTCTACTCCCTGGGGAATACAAACAAACAAACAAACAAACAAACAAATAAAACAACATTAACTGCAGGAGACTCATTGGGAAAAGGGAAAGAAATAAACCAAACAACAGTGACTTGAGTCTACTCCTTGGGAAATACAAACAAACAAATAAACAAAACAGTGTTAAATTGAGTCTACTCCCTGGAAAAAACAACATGAAATTTTTTTTTCTATCATGTGCTAATATAAAAAATAGCCTGGGTTGTAACACTCCTGGCTAATCATTGGTTTACAGCAACTGCAGGGTTCTAGCTACACGGAGGAAAGACGAAGCTGGTGTACTCTTGTTTTAAATGACTGGAGGTTGTTGTCAGTGATCAGGCCGACCACGTTGTCTGGGAGTCTGTTCCAGATTGTCATTCAAAAGACATTATGGCCACTGACAATACCTTTTAACATAACAAAATCTACACCCTTTCTACTGCAGCTATAGCTGCTTGAATAGCAAAGTTCCTTATTCGCAATCACTTTCAATGACCATCTGTTATCTTCATCAACTATAGCTGTTGCAGTAGAAGTGCAGAGTTACCTTGATGACGACTTTGGGCAGGCTTTCCTTGAGTTTCTGCATGTTGTAGTACATGGAGCTCTGGGCCGTTTCACTGGGAGTTACACACAGGATGGACTCACCATGTACAGCTATGTTCTGTAACACAAAACACACACAAATCAGTATCTTAAAAAATATGTACATCATCATGTAATGCTATTATTGTATGTAGAGTGGAACTTATTGTAGACTAGATTGCTGCCACCAAGTACAGTTGGGGCTTCATCACTAGATAGCTTTAACAACTCTTGCAGCTAGATGTGCAAAGATTGGGTGTAACAGGTTGTTCAGCATGATATAGCCAGCTGCCACCGCGCCGCGTGCCTGTCAAGCTGGTGTGTTACGCCGAAGGGTGGTTAAACTGGCTATACAGATACAGAAGCTGGTGTGTTACGCCAAAGGGCAGTTATACCGGCTATACATATACATATTAAGCATTATCAAAGGCTACTATCATTAAATACTTGAAACTAATAGATTACACTAAGAGTCTTAGAGTGTAACATACCCCAGGTTTGATTCGTAGCTTGGATGTACAGATGGAGTAACGTATGGTGTCGGCTGATACCTCCAGCTGAAAACACACGGAGCAAAGTTATTACATTTTTAGTATCTATACTAGCACAACTAGCCCTATATGAATCACAAAAATATGTATGGATAAAATGATGCTCTTACCTTCAGTAGTTTTATTCTGTCCATATGCAGTTTGACAAGTAAGAAGCAGTCATCTGGTAGATAGACCTCCTCCATGTACTCTGTTACCTGCAACATAATTTACATTGTACAGTATAAGGCAGTGTTACACAATTTCTCACTATCAGGGGCTGATTTCGCTAGCCTGTACTGTGTTACAGTCTCTCACTGTCTCACTGTTGTGCCCTTGGAAAAGGCTCTTTACACCTATTACCTGTCCTTATATATGTCAGGGTAGACAGTCTAGAGACTCTGATAGAATTGGCGATTTTAATGGTAGAGGTCCTGATCTAATAGTAGTAATACTGTAAATTTTAGGACATATTTGCTTAAAACACAGTCAGAACTTTTCAACTTTGACTCATGTCACTTTAGACCAATGGATTGACTGTCAGGGGATACAAAACAAGGCAGTCTGTCAGGGGATACAAGACTCTGTCAAATGAGCTGGAAAAAATCCAAAAACTCTGTTGCAAAATCATCGGCACTGAGCACCAGCAACTACACACGCTAGAGTTTAGGCGACATGAAGCGTCTCTACGCGAGCTGCAGCGAATCCTGAAAGACACCACACATCCCTGTAGACTGTTCCTGCCCCCAGTGGTTCAGACACCCTACAACTTACGCCGCCCTACGGGACTGAAACCACCACTCAGCAGATCAAATAGACACAAAAACTCTTTCATACCCAGAACTCTTTCGTCAATGTAAAGCCCGTGACATCCTCGTGCTTGTGTTGTATATTTAATGTTGAGAGATTTTAACAATGTCGGAAATTCGCTGTCTTTTTAAACTAATGGTATTTTAAATGTAATGTTTTTTTATGAATGAAATGTAAAATCAACCCAATTTAGTCTTGTCAAAGTCAATGTTGATTGCTGAATAAAGTTTACAAAGTACAACACAAGGCAGTCTGTGTTACACATTCTCTCACTGTCCCACTGCAACACCTTACAGCATGCAGTTGTCTACATGTAGGGCTGATTGGCCCTTTTTTCAACGGTGCAAGCATAAGAAGGCCACCTGTCCAAGAAGACCACTTCACTCCTGTGTGGCCTTCTTGAGCAGGTTTTACAGTACATTCATTAATGTCATACCTGGGCTGTGATATTACTGTTTGATATGGGTATTTATATGTGTAATAGCTAGCTGTCATCTTGGCTGATACTAAATACATGTGTTGTATTGTATATACAAACCTCCCCCAGTAGTGACTTCTCAATGCGCCCCTTGACCCTGCGAGCGAACTCTGGGCTAGAGTGGTCCTGAAGCTGAGCTGTGATGATCGGGGTACTGATGTTCTTAGATGCATTGATGATCTCCTTGATCCTGGGCACTCCCAGGGTGATATGTGCACTGGGGTTAAGGATGTACTTAGTGTATTTGATTCATTGAAATTGCAACAATGCAATACACACGGAACAGAGGCAGCTGTTGTTGTGTCCCGCACATAGAAACGAATACTGCACAGACAATACTCATGTTCACTTGAGTCTAGTGGAGAAAGTTGTTTAAAGTGCCTTTCCCAAGGGCACAAGATCGGTGGCATGTCAGGACTCGAACCTGGAACCTCTTGATTCCGAGTCGCGCACGCTGCCGTTGCGCCACACGACCCCACAACTTTGTACTTAGTGTATCTCAGCATGAAAGTTCATCTGTGTTAGTATACTTCATTATGACAAATTGATAAACTTTATCTGATGTTCTTAGATGCATTGATGATCTCCTTAATCCTGGGCACTCCCAGGGTGATATGTGCAATGGGGTTAAGGACGGAAGCTACAGAGTATCTCAGCATGAAAGTTCATCTGTGTTTGTATATTTAATTATGACAAATGGCTAACAAGGCTGATGGAGTTAGCTGGAAATTTGGGTAAGTCCCAATTTTCTTATGTGTTGGAAGATAAAGTTTAGCCATTCGTCATACATGTAACTTACAGAGTATTTCACTTACTTCTGCAGCTTTTTTCCATACGAAACTAGTATGAACTAGTCAACAACACTAAACCACAAGACCACCTTGCCACCACAAGACCACCTTGCCACATAATCATGTCATTTCTCTCTAAATCACTCTATCAATAGATATTACCAAGTGATTAATCAGGAACCACAGTCCAACATACATAATGCAAGGGTACTCTGGCTTTATATTCTAAGTGATGTCTTCTGTATAAACATGATTATATAATCATTGGGCAGTAACAAATTTTATGGCCGTGTATGTTGAAGGATATTCATGGAGGCGACTCCAGCGAAATGGAAGGTTTTGAGAGTCATCTGTGTTCCAGGTTCTCCTATACTCTGGGCACACACAGCACCTACTGCAGTTCCTGGAAGCAAAATTTCAAAGACATTTAAAATACATCAAACCTACTGGAGAAATGCATAATATTGAGCAGAAAACCTCTGAAAAAGGTTACCGGTGACAGAGAAGACAGACGCAATGTACAGTATTTACAGGTTCATTGTACTGGGGAAATCCCCTAGTACATGTATAATGAACAGTGGACCACGATTTTAAGTCCCATCCTAAGGACTACGACCCTTTCCAGTAGCGTGCATGTCGGGTGAGCGACAAAACCTCTGAGTCAGATAGAGGCCGGGTTGCAAGCTACCTGAGGTGCCACTGGACTATGCAAGCTACCGAGAACGTTTTGTGATAATTATTTGCCCTTGACTGCCGTTACCTGGTTCTATCTTGGCCCTGAGATACTTGTCCCTGACCATGACCAGGAACTGTGTCAGCTGTGTGGGAGTGATCCTCTCTAACTGTAGTAGTACAGGAGGCTGGGAAACACTAGCTGGGCCTGTTAAGAAACACAGATGAAGTTATGTCATCTAGCAGTAGACACAATATGCTGTACCTTGACATGTACAACAGTTGTTTAAAGTTTAAAATCTTTATCCAACAGAATATGTTCTCTCACCAAGAGCTTTTGACCAGTCACTCTGGTCTTCCTCAGTAGACTGAACCAGTGTTGATGTCACACTTCATAGAAGCCACATGACAAGCTTCACTGGGTCAGTCTACTGAGGAAGAACAGAGTGACTGGTTGAAAGCTCTAGGTGAGAGAACTTTTTTGTGTTGGATCGAAAGTTTTAACTTTAAACATGTAACTACCAACACAGATGAACTTTCATGATGGTATGTACATTAGAGTAGCTGTTTTTCTTTCACTCATTGGTCTAAGGAAAAATTATATCAACAAAATTAATAGATCTGATGCCTTAGTATAATAATTCTTGCAGTACTCATTTTATTTATAATACAATGACTTTAAATGCCACCCTCAAAACACCTTGCCTTTAGTTTTTACATGTGACATGTTGGAGGTACATGTATTGCATACCTGTTGTGACCTGGTATTTCTCATGTGTTGCCTCCACCCTTTTGGCAATTTCAGCTACAAAATCCCTAAAACACAAAAAACATTAAGCACTACACTGTAAGTCCAGATATTATTACCACTGTTGGTCTTTTTAACTTTTACTTCAAAAGCTAGTACAGTCAAACACTCAAGACAGGGGATGGACTAGAAGAGAAAGAAAGAAAGACAGTTAGCCATAGGATTCTCATGCTTTGGTCTGATTTGAATAATAGAAGGGAATATATATTGGGAAATATAATAGAAGGGACCATGATAGCCAAGTATCCATGTATCGTTTTAAACTATCCTAAAAAGTAATTTTCAAAGATATACAACAACGTCTTACTTGATGGCCTTGCAGAAATGCTTACTAGAAGTTGAGATATATAGGACACAGGGAGGGGGGAAAGACACAAAAAACACAGGAGGAAGAAAGAAGAAGTCATTACTTAAGATAAAGAACAGTAAAGAAGAAGACAGTACTGGACAAGTTTACAAGACATGTTATAAGAAGAAGGTTACAGTAAAGAATTATCTTTCCAAAGTCTTAATTTCCTTCAATACATTTCATTAAGTTTGGGAAACGTTGTCAATGATGTAAGAATTTCCTACAAATGATCACTTGGAGGTGTGGTGTGAAGACTAGTCAACTGCTGCCTAGCCCTGTGCCAGGGACCCCTGCAGCAGTATACATTTAACCTAAGACTGGATACTACATGTATACTATCACTGTGCAAAAGATTTACACAATTTTGACTATTACAGGCAAGAGAAACCATCCAGGACCATTTCCAGCATACCATCAATGCACACAGACACAACAACAAGGTGTATGAAAAACCTTTTCATATAATAGACCTATTGGAATATAGTTCCATGGTTCTAATTGTCATAATTAGTGTTGTTTACTTGATTTCTTTCCTGTACTCTTCGCTGACACTCATAAACTCCGCCTTGTCCACCATCTCAGCTGTCGTCTGGACCAGCTCTGGACCGGTTAAAACCGGTTCCCCTTCGCACCTGTGAACTGCCTGGAAAATAAAATCAAAACACGAAGAGTTGAATCAGGTTTAGTCTACAAAGTAAATGTAGCAACTAAAGACCTAGTCACTGTAATGTGCTTTTCTATACATCTGGTTGTACAGTTTTAACTCAAGAAAACCAAGCTTAGGATTCTTGATCACTGTAAAAGTCATTTCTTTTATCAGACTTTGATGATCTGTAGTGAGGCAGCTTGGACAATACAGTCTTATATTTTCAATGTCAATGTTGGAAAACCAATTGTACAATGTTTCATCACCCAGGTGTCAAAGCATGGGGCTAGAAAAGGTCAGTCAGCTTGGAAATTTATGTCCCTTACACCCCAAAAAAAGGCTAGGGTCGGCAGTTTTTCTAAGGGTGGTCGGGAAACAGGAAACATATCATTTTTTTCCTAGGCCTTACCCTAATGTGGTCCAGGACCCGTTGAAACTCCACAGGTGTGTCCTTCACTTCCATAGCAATGGAAATGTCACAAATATGCAAATGACGGCATTACAAATATGCAAGTTAGGGAAGGGCTGCTAGAAGTGTAATGTAGTCAGGCTAGGGTCCTGACCAGTAGTGGAAAGGCTGCTAGAATCATGATGTAGTTAGGCAAGTGTTGTTACTCCTTACCCTGATGTGGTCCAGGACCCGTTGGAAGTCCACAGGTGTGTCCTTCCCTTCCATAGCAGCAGGGTCCAGCCCGTCTCCCCCGTACATGAACTGTATAATCTCTCCCATGGAGTTTCTCACCATCAAGTCATAGTGCGAACACAGGTCCTCCAGAGACTGCAAACATATACATGTAGGTTGTCACAAATATGCAAATACCAGTATGCAAATTTATACAGCCCATCTCCCCCGTACATGAACTGTATGATCTCTCCCATAGAGTTTCTCACCATCAAGTCATAGTGCGAACACAGGTCTTCCAGGGACTGCAAACATATACATGTAGGTTGTCACAAATATGCAAATACCAGTATGCAAATTTATACAGCCCATCTCCCCCGTACATGAACTGTATGATCTCTCCCATAGAGTTTCTCACCATCAAGTCATAGTGCGAACACAGGTCCTCCAGGGACTGCAAACGTATACATGTGTGTTGTCACAAATATGCAAATACCAGTATGCAAATTTATACAGCCCATCTTCCCCGTACATGAACTTTATAATCTCTCCCATGGAGTTTCTCACCATCAGGTCATAGTGCGAACACAGGTCCTCCAGGGACTGTAAACATATACATGTGTGTTGTCACAAATATGCAAATACCGGTATGCAAATTTGTACGGCCCGTCTCCCCCGTACATGAACTGTATAATCTCTCCCATGGAGTTTCTCACCATCAAGTCATAGTGCGAACACAGGTCCTCCAGGGACTGCAAACGTATACATGTGTGTTGTCACAAATATGCAAATACCGGTATGCAAATTTATACAGCCCATCTCCCCCGTACATGAACTGTATAATCTCTCCCATAGAATTTCTGGTTCCGGGTCGGAGTTTAATTCTGACCAGAGTCTAAGTAAGTGCGCAGTAAATCGCCGGAAACGTGACTTTGTATGGTATGTTTTGGCCGCGATATCCCTGAAATCGTAATATCTGTGTACATAATCTTTGTATTTTCTGAAAAGCCTGTTAGTTGTAGCCTTTATAGGTGGCGTAATGTTGGTGGTCCAGCTAAGACTTCCTGGTATTCGTCCGCGCGGATGGTTATGTGGCCTTTTCGCCTGACCGCCGGGATGGTACGTTCTATATGCGTTCTGGGTGTGTTCGGGCCATCGAAGATAGCGATAAACTTATCGCATCGATTTTAATTAAATTCAAAATTTGGAAACATTAGGTTCTGAGCTTCTTCGAGTACTAAGCCGTTACCCTGGGAAAATTCGTTTTTTCCATGCAGCCATGGTTAAAAATGACGAAAAAAATGACCCCTTTTTTCAAAATGTACTTTGATGTGCCTCATTTACCCCTAAATAAATTGGGCGCAGAAAATATCAATCAAGTGTATTGATAAGCGGCACGGCACCCCTTTCCACCAAAAGAGTGAAAAATTCCGACCCGCGTTTAGTACAGAAATGACAGCCCGTCGGGCTGAGGGTGTCAAATTGCTCGAAATACAGAGGGAAACTCCGGTCCGAGACCTTATCTCACCATCAAGTCATAGTGCGAACACAGGTCCTCCAGGGACTGCAAACGTATACATGTAGGTTGTCACAAATATGCAAATACCAGTATGCAAATTTATACAGCCCGTCTCCCCCGTACATGAACTGTATAATCTCTCCCATGGAGTTTCTCACCATCAAGTCATAGTGCGAACACAGGTCCTCCAGGGACTGTAAACATATATGTTGTCACAAATATGCAAATACCAGTATGCAAATTTATACAGCCCATCTCCCCCATACATGAACTGTATAATCTCTCCCATGGAGTTTCTCACCATCAGGTCATAGTGCGAACACAGGTCCTCCAGGGACTGTAAACATATACATGTGTGTTGTCACAAATATGCAAATACCAGTATGCAAATTTATACAGCCCATCTCCCCCATACATGAACTGTATAATCTCTCCCATGGAGTTTCTCACCATCAGGTCATAGTGCGAACACAGGTCCTCTAGAGACTGCAATTATAATATAGGAAATATATACATGTACGTTGTCACGAATATGCAAATTTTTCTACATTGAAATGTCACAAATATGCAAATGATGCTTAGAGGTTTTCTTTACAAATATGCAAGTTTTGGCTTGGAATTAAATCTGTCTAAAAGAGTCCTCCAAGATCCTCAAACACCTTCATATATATGGTGACAATGTAGCCCTCTTGAAGTATGAAGTTCTGCATATGGTACTTGCAACATTATGTAACCCAACACCAGTTACCACGGTGAGAGACATCTGTATCTGTATCTGTATAGCCGGTATAACCGCCTTTCGGCGTAACACACCAGCTTCGCAGGCACGCGGCGCGGCGGCAGCTGGCTATATTACACCGATCGACTTGTTACACCTAACCCTTGAACTTCTAGCTCTAGACATTGTTTAAAGCTATGTATTGACAATGCCCCTACTGTACTTGGTGACAGTGAGTTCCACTCTTCGATAGTTCTAGGAAAGAATGAATTCTTGAACACCTTAATCCTTGGTTGATAACTCTGGTACTTGAATGCGTGGCTATTTCTTGTTCTCTTCTGGGCTGGTATTAGGTACTTAGTAGTTGGGACATCCACCAGTAGTTGGGACATCCATCTGGTCCTTGTCATTGACCTCATGGTGTTTGGAACAGAAGAAGAAGAAACTGAGCAAAAACAATATGTTTTCCTTTGGTAAACATTTAAAAAAAAAATGCCCCACCTTGACCAGTCTCCTCTGCATGTACCCCGTCTCAGCGGTTTTGACGGCGGTGTCCACCAGACCTTCCCTCCCCCCCATGGTGTGGAAGAAGAACTCAGTAGGAGTCAGGCCTGAGTAGAAACTGTTCTCTACAAAACCCTTGGCTTCTGGTTCTTTGGCTGAAAATTGAAAAAAAAGAAAACAAACATTAAAAAGATGCATCAAGTTTTACCAATAGCCATAGCTACATGCTTTGTAACTTCTGAAGTCTTTGATATGACTGTTCTACAACTGCATGTGACTTATTTCCAGGCCAGTTAGAGAGAGAAAATAACATCACAAATAAAACATTTTTGCAGATATCCTAATATCTTTTAATGTTCGAATTTCTAAATCCTATACCATAAAATGTGTTGTGGGAGGGTGAATAAACTTAACTTTCTATAACTTTCTACTTTTTAACTTTTTAAAGCCTTCAAGTACACTTTTCATAAAAATTGTTTTAGACGGATTTTTACAGAACAAGTCATGTAAATTAAAGGGAATTAATAGATATGGTTAGAGTTAGATGTTCAAGGGTTAGGTGTAACAGGTTGTTCAGTGTAAATATTAAAGCCAGCTGCCGCCGCGCCGTGTGCCTGCAAAGCTGGTGTGTTACGCCGAAGGGTGGTTATACTGGCTATACAGATACAGATACAGAATGCAGATGACATTATGTGTGAACTCACAGTAACGTTTGAAGTGAGGGAGTGCCCGGTCCTCAAACCCATTAGGAACTCTCTGTCCTGAGATGGCCTGCTGTCCCACACACGCAATCATCTGGGAGATGTTGATGAATGATCCTGGAAAAAGCAAAACAAGACAAAACATAAAACAAAGAATACACATTACATGATGGTTTTCAATCTTCTATCTAACATAAGATACGCCTCAAAATGCTATATAGCCGTTAACAATACAAGAGTAAGACTTATCCGATACAAAAGTATGAATATCTTTTTCAGAGCCAAGAATGGTTACTAGTATTTTGTAGTTGCCTGCTTCACAAAAGACAGAAAACTGCACCTTCTGTAACTATGAAATGACAGTAAATTTTGCATTACTTTTTGACCCACATACATTTGTACAGCCATGGTGAGTTGCTGCTCTCATGTAATACTGCCCCCTAGCAGCTACAAGGAAAACTGCACCTTTTGTGACTGACATTACCTGTGATTATGACATTACCTTTTGACCCACATACAGTCATGGTGGGCTGTTGCGCTTGTGAAATACTGCCCCCTAGCAGTTACATGGAAAACTGCACCTGTGATTATGACATTACCTTTTGACCCACACACAGCCATGGTGAGCGGGCTGTTGCTCTTGTGCAGCTCAGTCAGACAGGCCTTCCCTGCATGGTCTCGGATAACAGACAGCTCCTTCAGTATAACAGCCTACAAAAAACAACAACATAAAAAAATTTTCAAGATGGTAATTAACATGTAAAGAAATGATTCTGCTGGGCCACATATATCTGCCACATCGAAAAATGTGTCTAAAGAGATTTCCAATGCAGTGTCCCACATTATAATGTACGCATGATGTTACCAAAAACAGAAAGAAAAGAGACCATCTACATCAGAGCATTGCAACCATCTCTCAACAGAGACGGGTGCGCCACAAACAGTATGCAGACTATCATCCACTGCTCCCCTAGACGTCATACATGTAGAAGCGGTGGATTGTTCATTCCTTAACAAAGACTAGAGTTGTAAAGAGGAAAATTTGGGTATGTTTTATTAGAAATTACTGTTCATTACTTGCTTCATAGAAAGAACAGAAGCCTTACCTCCAGTGTCTGCTCTGGAGTACAAAAAAACTGTTACTCAAGCAACTGGACATGATTTTGGAAACGGTCAGACATTTCAGGTAGCATCCACTAGCTTTCACCAGTTTTGGCATATCTTATTACCTGGATGTCTAACCTTCACTGACGTATCAAATTATTACCTCCAGTGTCTGCTCGGGAGTACATCCAAAAGAGAAGACTGACTCCAAAAAACAGTTACTCAAGCAACTGGATATGATTTTGGAAACGGTCAGACGTTTCATGTAGCATCCACTACCCTTCATCAGTTTTGGCATATCTTATTACCTGGATGTCTAACCTTCACTGACGTATCATAACAAGCCCTACCTCCAGTGTTTGCTCCGGAGTACAGCCCGGCTGACTCTGTAGTTTTCCCTCCTCTAGTTCGCGGATGAAGGCGTCACAGTTCCCGTAGCCCGTGTCCAGAAGGTTCTTCTTGGCGGAGAGAAGCCCGTCGCCCGGGGTGACGTCTCCGATGCCGATGGAGAAGCCGCGGTTACTGAGGAAGAACGGACAGATCCGGGCAAGTCGACTCATCGCTGTAGCAGCAGCCTGGGACAAACGGAAAAATTAGTAAACATCTTGCTGGAATCTATTCAAAATACACATGTACCTCTTACCAGACATGTAACAGAACATGTAGATGAGAAAAAAAACATTTGATGAGAAAGCTACTGTAAGTAGTGTAACATTGATTTTAACTTGCTTATGAAATTCTCATAGTTCATCCGACTTACCTGTTCATGTATAAACAGTTATAATTTCAGAAGATGGAAAATCTAGAAAATGTTGCCTTGAAATCTGCTTGAAATCTTTACTAAAACAACTATTTTGCAGACTTGTTGAGTCTGAATTATGGTGGTAATTACACACATAATCACACTAAAATCAAGGTGACATGTACATATACATTGTGTAGTAGTTAAAATGTTAAGTACATGTGATAACCCTCCTAACATCTAAAAACTCTAAATGACGATAAGACTTAACACACTTACATGTATCAAGTGAGTACAGGGAATTTATTCAATAGATCAGTCTTGATTTTACATGTTTATGAAAAAAAGATACAGAGAACAGTGACACTGAATGATCTATGAACCCTAGAACTGGATATATACTAGTAGAAGGCAAGGAAGAAAACATTACCTCCTCCCCATAGTCTCTGAGTAGTATGTAGAAGATGTTGTTTTTAGAGCCGGACCCCAGCATGGCTTTATCCATGGCTCCACACAGCAACTCTCCTGACTGGATTATCACAACTGGGGAAGGAACATCAACTTATCAAAATGCTGCCAATGTTTCAGAAGCTACAGTAAAATACTCATTCTCTGTAAAAAAAATTGATGTAAAAGCTGCATTCAGGTCAACTTGCTCGTAAAATTTTCAGATTTTATCAGACAGTACATGTATAATACAGTTATCATTTCAAAGACTGGGACATCTACATGTAGTGGGTGATAACAAGGTGGGATTTGAACAGTTACTCCAAACCTCTTGGTTTCAAGGCAGGGTTGCTAACAACTGTATCTGTATCTGTATAGCCGGTGTTTTATTCACAGCCAACATTTCAGTGACCCTCTGTCACCTTTCTCAGGGCAATTCTGACTGGTTCACATTACACAGCAGCACAGGTGTCGCTGCTACAGATGCATTCCCAAATGTACAATATTCAATATGTACACATATGTGTGGTTACAGGAAACTGTATATTTCTACAATACATTGTACAATTCACTGATGTGCATTTTTATTGTACATGTATGTACAGACTTACAGGAGTCATTAGTGCTGAGATCTTCTCCCTTGGTATAAGACTTGGTCTTGGCCTTGAGGTTACACCTGATGGGAGACGTCTTGTTGGGTTTGAGGATGAGACTGAAGATCTGCTTCCCTGTCCACAGGCACATGGGCTGGGGAACAACAAGTTCAAGTTCAAAAGTCTGCAAATTCCAAGTCAAGGTAACAGTAGGCAAGGTAAAGAGCACACCTCACATCCACGTTTATGAAAATACAAAACTACATAACCGTACACAAAGAAAATGGGCTGGAGTAACAACAGGTACATGTAAGAGCAACAACACATCTTACTGCAGTTGTGTACAGGTACAGGTACTGGTATACAGGTTTAGGTATACATGTAGGTTTGTGCCTGTATGAACAAGTAGTTTTCTGTGAGTTATACAATAAAAATTTAGTCTTTTCTAGTGGTAAGTTGTGGTCCTTGTATAAAGGCTAGGTTTACATTATTTGAATCTAAAAACCATGTATTTACAGGTTTTCTGGAGTTTTCAGTGCTAACATGTCTAAATTATCTTCTATGAGATGAAATTTACGTAATATCTTTAGTGCAAAAAAGATGTTTATTTTGTTGTACTTGTGGATACAGTATATGGTACCACCTCATTGAGGATGGACTGAGCTGAGGTACACAGTACTTGTAGGGTTTGGTCATTTGTTTTTGTTGCTACTTACCTATTATTATTGTAATGAAAATACAAAATTCAAGAAGACCAAGTCACAGTGCTTACTTTCATGATGGCAGGAGGAGGGAGGTCTATCCTCTCTGCCCTGTCTCCACCAGACAGCATGGATGAGTGTTTGTGAGTTTATTTAGTGTATTGAAAAGAACACAGTGCTTACTTTGATGATAGCAGGAGGAGGGAGGTCTATCCTCTCCACCAGACAACAAGGATGAGTGTTTGTGAGTTTATTTAGTGTAATGATGAGAAGAACACAGTGCTTACTTTCATGATGGCAGGAGGTGGGAGGTCTATCCTCTCTGCCCTGTCCCCACCAGACAACATGGATGCGATGTTTGTGAGTTTATTTAGTGTATTGAGAACAACACAGTGCTTACTTTGATGATGGCAGGAGGTGGGAGATCTATCCTCTCCGCCAGACAGCATGGATGAGTGTTTGTGAGTTTATTTAGTGTATTGAGAAGAACACAGTGCTTACTTTGATGATGGCAGGAGGAGGGAGGTCTATCCTCTCCGCCCTGTCTCCACCAGACAACATGGATGCGATGATCTGACAGGCCTTGGCGCGGTCGAACATGGTGTCCTTCTGAGTCAGGAGGTACGAGCCCGTGATGAAGTCCTGAATGGCCGCGATCAGCGGCTCTCCGTTCCGCGGGGTCACCAGGTTAGACTTCACCTGTGCGTAAGTTAAATTAGAATACTAGAAAGGTAGCATTTGGAAAGCAAATGCATAATGTTTACCTTTGCATATGGTCTGCTCTGTTAACTCTTATTACACATTCCTATAATATATATATGGTCACACAGGAGTCTGTTGTCAGTTCATGTGTTAGTCTACGTTGGTGGCAGCATAAAGGTAAGTTAACTTGTGGAGACATTACATGGCATCACCCTGCAGTGTTAGAAGTACCCATCTAATATTTTCAATATTGCAGAAGAAAAATTCAGCAACCTGCAATTTTGCAGACTGAAAAAAATCAAGCTATGGGTGTTTGCAGAAAGCATTTATAAATTGCAGAACAAAATTTTGACATCCTGCAATATTGCAGAACACTGAAAAAAAGGATTTCTACCACTGCCCTGTTAAAAAGATGAACTGAACTGAACTAAGTAACGTTATGTACATGTACTCACCCCCATGAGTATGAGAGCCTCTGCCTTTGCTTCCTCAGTCTGTGGGAGATGGAGGTTCATTTCGTCCCCGTCAAAGTCAGCGTTATACGGCGTACACACGCACTCGTTAAACCTGAACGTTCTGTGTGGCATGACCTTGGCCTGGAGGGAATAGAACAGGCCAAGGTCATCAAATTGTACATGTAGGTTCAAGGTTGTGAGTGATGATTCTTTTAACAGACCTACATCTGAATTATGCTGATTAACATTTACAAACTCTTCTAAGTCATACTTCTTTCAACCCTGTCCATGGTACTGAATGATATTCATATTATCTTAACATGAGTCTTTGTAGCACAGTGAGACTTAGAAGGCTTGAATGAAAATCTCATTATACATTTCTCTGAGTTTAATTTTTCTTTAACATGCTATTACAATAGTGAGCAATTCTTTCTGAATGCTTGACTGTGAGTCACACAATAAAACATGCTCGGAAGCTCTACATAGTGCACCAAGTCAGTAGCACATAGCTGGCAAGTCTTTGCAACATAGTAGATAGACACTTGTTTTAAACACCAGGAGGCTGCTGGGTGTTGTTGACTTACATAATGTGCCATGATGCTGAGCTTGTGTAGAGAGGGTTGTCGGTTGAACAGGACCACATCCTTGTCTAACAGGTGCCTCTCTACAATATCACCATACTGGAAACAGCCACAGAAAGAAAGTGGTTAGTAAGTTGTGTCCAAACAAAATATAAAGGATAACTGTTCTGAATATAGTGTACAGTCAAAACAGTTACTGCATTCTTTTAACAGTCATTGAAAGTAGCTACCAAGTCGCAAACAAATGAAATATAAATTAACAGTTATCTAAGGGATCACAAAAACTGACTAGCAGTTATAAGCTCAGTGTAAGAAAATCTAACTGCACAATTCAATATCAATGTCCTTTATTACAACATTACATTGTATCCCCATAGTTATACAAAGTCTTCCCCCAATAGATAATATCCTGTAAGTTCCATACCTTTAGTTCCTGTGCTATCTTTTGCCTGTTGCCATACTTGAGGAATCTGAAACAGAAAACAACAAAATTGTTCTTAATCTTAACTTAAACTTGTCAATGACTAATTGCTACATTTTAGTCTAATTATCGTAATGTTATCTTAATTTCAACTTAATTTAATATTGATTGATTGAAAAGATGAGTCAACAAGAAAGTATTTTTTGCCTACATCATGATTTTTATTATACAACATGAACTTTAACATCTGACCCCTGACCTTTTGACCCCCGTGGCCCGTGACTCCACAAAGTTGGCGCCCGGGTGTGTGTCGCAGCCGTTCACGATCAGGCGTCTCATCAGCTGGATGTTTGCCTTGTTTACCTTCTCTGGGTACGTCAGGATCTTAGCAACGTGGATCGGCACGGCAACCTGTGATAAACAAACAAACAAACAATTAAACAAACAGACAAACAGACAGAGATTTAGATTAAAAGTAAATCTATGTTGGTAGACTTAATTCTGATGAGGCATATGTTAGCTGTAATTACAGCACAAGCATACAGCACAAAGCAAAATGGGACTTACCCAAGTTTTGAGTGGACTAGCCCCCTGCTGTAGTGATTGCACAACTGTGCACAAGGGCTACTAGTACTGAACTGGAGATGGCACCGCCCTATGCACCATGTGGTGCAGGAAGGACTTTAAATAACTAACTAACCCAAGCTTTGACTACCAGTCTGTACAGGAAAGGTGCCGTACAGTCAAAAATGTGGGTATGTCCCATTTTTCTTTGTGTTGGAAATTACTGTTTGAATCTTCTTCTGGTCACTTGTTACTAACACATGTGCAATTTGCTAATACACCCAGCAATGGGGCTATAGCAGCAAGAAAGAAGAAGCCTTACCTGGTCTATCCTGAGGTTGGGGTCAGGAGAGATGACAGTTCTGCTGGAGTAGTCCACGCGTTTTCCCGACAGGTTTCCCCGGAATCGACCCTGTTTCCCCTTCAGTCTTTGGCAAAACCCACGGGTCGGTTTCTTTGGCTAAAGATGAGAAAGATTTACGTATTATGTTACTGTGATCTTTTCAAAAGCATTGACAGCTATTCCCCATTTCTTTAAAATTCATGAAGTTCAAGTGTTTAAAAGTTCAATTTACAAAATTGAGGAAAGATAGCAGAAGTACCAGCCATGGCATAACTAACACCACGTAGCAGTGACCCCTGGCAGTTATCTGCAGTACTGCAGCACTAACCTGCATGTTGAGGGGAATGCCTCCCTGTTCACTGTTGATGTACAGAGCACATTGAAGCTGCAGAAAGTCCCAGTCTTCCTGTGGGGGTACAGAGTACTCAGTTGGTAATGATAGAATAAGCATAACATTTATGCCTCTATCGTAGTACAGATCATGAGATACAGAAAAAAAAACAGTTACTCAAGCAACTGGATCTTGAAAACTGTCAGACATTCCAAGTAATATTTGGTCCTAGCCACTGACCAAAAGGACTGGATGCTACCTGAAATGTCTGACAGTTTTCAAAACCAGTCCAGTTGCTTGAGTACCTGTTTTTTTTGTATATAATTTTATATTAACATTTATGTTGTTAGAATTCTAATGTACATTTTTGAATTCATAGTTATTTACTAAGTCTCTACATGTAGTAACTATCCTACCATGATCATCTGAGCTCGTGCTCCTGTTGCCCTGTGTTTCTGAATGACATCGTTCAGGAACAGGATTTCTGTCAGCTTCATGGTGACATCATCTTCATTCCTACAACATGTACAAAACAGAATAAACAATGCAGTAGTCAGTTTCTAGCATCACATAATTACTGGATATCATGGGCTGAACACATGGAATCAACAGAAAATGTAGCATAATCTGACACAACGGTTGAAACGTAGTTCTTAAATATGTGAGTATCTGTATCTGTATCTGTATCTGTATAGCCGGTATAACCGCCTTTCGGCGTAACAGACCAGCTTCGCAGGCACGCGGCGCGGCGGCAGCTGGCTATATTACACCGATCGACTTGTTACACCTAACCCTTGAACTTCTAGCTCTAGACATTGTTTAAAGCTATCTATTGACAATGCCCCTACTGTACTTGGTGACAGTGAGTTCCACTCTGCGATAGTTCTAGGAAAGAATGAATTCTTGAACACCTCAATCCTTGGTTGATAACTCTGGTACTTGAATGCGTGGCTATTTCTTGTTCTCTTCTGGGCTGGTATTAGGTACTTAGTAGTTGGGACATCCACCAGTTTATTAGTCATTTTGTACATCATGCATAGTCTAGACATCTTTCTTCTGTCTTCCAGTGAGGTCCACTGTAGGTTTCTTTTCATTTCCGTGACACTAGCACCTCTTACATAGTTGTTCATACAGAATCTTGCAGCTTGATTCTGTACCCTTTCCTAATTTGTCTTTGTCTTTCTTTGTATATGGATCCCATACTGTCGCAGCGTATTCTAGGTTCGGTCTTACAAGTGACGTGTATGCAAGTGATTTTACTCTAGTTGGACATGCCCACAGATTACGTTTAATCACTCCCAATGTCTGTTTCGCCTTAGTTGTGATATTATTAACATGTGCACCCCACTTCAGTCCGCTTGTCAGCGTGACGCCCAGATACGGATGGATACGGAGTACAGCCTTAAATGCAACGTTCTGCCAAAGTGCTATGCACGATACATTCAGGGTTTCGCACAGATGCTGTATGCTCTGCTAACATGCTAATCTGAAGCTCAAAGATAACTGAAAGTACTAGGATACCAGGGTTTTCTTTTACACAACCAATATTGTCTCTTACCTTGCTTACATTTCAATGTCTATCAGACAACTTCCTCAGAGCTTCTGACTGGAGCTCTGCTTCTCACCGCTATAGTATACACAGAAGAAAACCCCAATATCCTATACTTTACAAACCTAAGGAAACTATTTTCAGAAATAGAAAGTACTACATGTACATACGTGCCAGCCTTGAGTTCAGTGGACACAGAAGGCCTGATACAGAGTGGAGGGACCAGCAGTCGAGTCAGAATCATGTCCTGGGGACGGCCGTGTTCAGCGTCCATGATCAGGGAACGGAAGGTCCTGTATCAAACACACATCCAGGGAAATATTAGCACTGCACATTTCAGAAAAACTTCTGGACAAAGGCTGACATTTCATAATTAAAAAATGGCAGGTTGCCATCAAGCCTCAGCATCAATATCAGTTTAAATCATATTCAGCATCCATGATCAGGAACAGCAGGTCCTGTAATAAAATATAAAACACACAGGTTCAGGAAAAACATTTCATCATATGAAAACCTTCACTGTGGTAGAAATACTTTTTTTTATATGTTCCACACTTTTGCAGAATGTCAAAATTTTGTTCTGCCATTTGGAAATACTATCTACAAATGCACACGTATCAGTCCAGATGTAAACCAATGGTATACACAAATTCCATGTTGGCAAACATCTTACATGGAATTTGAAACATACATGAAAAACTAGAGAGGCCAACATTTGCTTGGGAGCAAATACAGCATATTTCAGTCCATCTCCCTCCCACGCAAAAGTGGACTATTCCAAACTTATATACCCCAGTGTAAAACTGGCAAACATTCTCAAATAAATGAGTTATATAGGAGCCATGTAATTGAGAACAAAGATGCAAGAACAAGCACATTGAATCTCGAAAGCTTTACTAATCTTCTTACAGGTATGCAAATACTAACAATGATGAGATTTGATGCATTTTGAAGGTCTTAGGCACATAAAGTTGAATGTGTGGGTCATTACGCACGACTTACGTGCAATGTGACCACAGGTAACCCGCAATGGAACACGTGTTCCATGGCCAACGGCAGATGGAACGTGCCATTCTTTAGATAGAACATGGAACGGGTATAGCACTTTTGGCCCTTTTTTGCTGAAAATAGTCATTAAAGTCCCCCAAATGAGTCATTTGGAAGTGGTGTATGCCAAATATGTGACTGTTGTTCTGTAGAGACATGTTCAAGGTACCCTTATACCGAATTTCAGATCATTTGGTTGTAAAACCAGGGCTCAGGATCCAAAAATCCATTTTTTGGCGAAAAATGCCCCAAAAAACCTCCATAAAAATTTTTCAAAGGCATGTATCAAAAAAATGAAAAAAACGCCTGGGGGCATTGGCCCACTCTACCTCCATGCCAAATTTCAAGTCATTTGGCTGAATGATGGCGGAGTTGAATCCCTCTGACTGTTTGGCAGGAGGAGGAGGAGAAGAAGAAACATCAGAGAACACAATATATTTCATCCATACCATGGTATGGACTGAAATATAATTACAATGCATAATAGTGTCAGTAGCTCTTATATTTGACTTAGTTAAACAACATTATGTGGACACCATTGAACCCCTAGCCTTTTTCAGTCTGCAAAATTGCAGGTTGCTCAATTTTTCTTCTGCAATATTGAAAATGTCTCTACAAAATGCAGATAGACTGTAGACTGTATTTCTAACTCCACACCTGATGCGGGATCCTGCTGAACATGTGCAGAGCCACCATGGGGTTCAGGTTCTCCTGTGCCCGCGGGATCAGACCCTCGATCTCCTTGTTGTGTTCCACGGCGCTCTGGAACGACGACTGGAAATCTGTCACCACCGGGTCAACGACCTTCTTCGTGCTCTTGTAACGCTCGTGGACGATCTTCAAAAGGCCACACTTCTTCACTGGACCTGAGAGAAATTAGGAGAAGTTTCAAAATTAAGTCAACTTCCTTGTATTTCCACTATCTTCAGAAGTCCCCACTTCTTCACTGGACCTGAGAGAAATTGAATGCAATTACATGTAAGCGAAGTTAAAGATTAAGTAATTTTCCTTGTATTTCAACTATCTGACTAGCCAAAGTGCATTTTACGTGTTGCTTTAGGTTGCTTTTACTGAATGTTGGTTTAAAAGCAGTCTAATAACATTATGCAGCATGTGCTAGTCTTGAAGAAGAATGCTATTACAACTTAAGACATGTGACAAAGTAATAAGTTAAAGTGATACTTCTTTGATTATCTTGCCCCAATTTCTCTCTCTCTCCGGTTTACCGTAAGCAAGGTTAGACGTGCCTGCACTTGAATATGATAATTAATTTCCAGTATCTGTATCAGTCTGAGACTGGTACTATTTCTTTCTTTGTGAACACATGGTAGTAACGATACTTCTTCTCAGGGCACGCCTGTAAAGCAGTATATTGTACTGAGTGCGTCTACCCTGTATAAAGAAGACAGAAATAAATAAATAAATAAATAAACGATACTTCTTACCATTGAGAGCTCCACAATGAGAACAGTAGGAGACTTTTCGACACTTCTCGTTGATTTTCTTCTTGAGTCCCTTCCTCTGCAGGTAGCTGAGGTTGGGCCGTCTCAGGGTGTCTGTGAACGTCTTTCTGTCATCTTTACCCAGCAGAACTCGGCTGCAGCTCTGGAAGGCAGATTTCAACATCTCACACACATCTTAACCAACTAGCACGTCGGCAGAACCTACTGCACCTGCGCAAAACCCGTAATGTACTGTGCAAAGCACTTCAGCAGAATGTCTCATATTAGGTCGTATTTGAGAATTTAAGGTGAACACTCCATCTGTAGTTACCAAATGTTGTGTTGGAAAAGATATCGTCTGCAACAGACAAAATTCTAATGAAACGTTGACCTAACAACCTGAACGAAAACCGTAAAAATATCAGGGTTTCGCGCAAGCGCAGTATGTTCTAAGGATATGCTATCTTCATCAGCTAAGCTCATCCCTTTGATATTATTCTGTATTATAAGACACTAAGCCCACTACTAGTACTGACTTACGTATGTGTGTCATTAAAGAATTGTATGGTGAGCCATTCCTCTTTCTTTCAGTATTTGTATTTGTATTTGCATGAATAACTATTGTAGAGTTGGTATAGCCACCTTTGGTTTAGCAGCCCAACAAGATTTAAAACTATACTAACAACTAAAGTCACAGTTATCCATTCTTTTGTATTGGTTTTTAACTAAAATTACACAAGTACAGTTTATGAAGTATATATTATAACATATGATAGATACCTACCTTACAGATACACTGCAGCACATGTATGATGGATTTGAAGTATCCCACATGGAAGACAGGCAGTTCCAGGTCTACATAGCCGTAATGTCCCACACACTCTGCAAGGTTCTTTCCACAAGTCTCACACGACTTGTCTTTGGTGCTGGTGCCCTGTGAATACAACATAAACAGCAAACATCAACAAAAACAACAAACACCTGTTGGATATAGCACATACTGTAGTTATTGACTGAACTACAGAACTACATGTGTAGCACGTCTGTCATCTGTGCAACTACTTAACAATACCGATCGGTACAAGTATGTGCATGTGTAAGAATGTACATCTAATCGTCTTTGGATTTATGTGTTATGTTTATGGATTTGTTAGGACTTTAATCATCTAATCTGTGTTTAATTTGTTACATTTTGTCTGACCCTGACCTCTTGCCTAATGACCTCAATGGAAAGCTCCTCTTCGTGTTTTCCATGTTAATTTCCAGTAAAAATCCTAACGCTTCCAGTACTCCATACGGTACAGATCAGAGGAACTCACCATATGATTGTCGAGTACCCCGTACGGTACAGGGAAACTTACCATGTGATTGTCCAGTACCCCGTACGGTACAGAGACCTGTCTGCTGTCCTGGTTGTACAGGGAAACTTACCATGTGATTATCCAGTACCCCGTACGGTACAGGGAAACTTACCATGTGATTATCCAGTACCCCGTACGGTACAGGGAAACTTACCATGTGATTATCCAGTACCCCGTACGGTACAGGGACCTGTCTGCTGTCCTGGTTGTACAGGTTTTTGCTGACCACGTGGATGTGGGACTGTTGTCTCATCTCCTCATCCGACATCATCCCGAAACAAACATGGCTTCTGCACTCGGAAAACAGGAGAAAAAATTTGACGTCTGCAAGATGTTCAATCTTAATGATATAAATCTATCTAAGTTTAAAAAAAACACTGATGAATTAATTGAGCAGCATATTGAACTGCAGTCAGTACCTAGTTTGAATGTAATACTTTTAAAAGGGTTGGACTACAAAGGTATATGACACACAGTGATAGTAAAATTCTAGATTAAGGTACTGTCATCTGCAGACTAGTAAACTGCTGCAACATCATTATCATACGTACAGAAGGTCTGTACTGAAAGAAATGAACAAATCAGAATTGACTTAAAACGGGTTTTTGAAACTCACATTCTTCTCGCCAAATCTGCCTCCCGAAACTGTTCCTTCACCATGGTGACTGCTTGTCACTAACAAACTTCTACAAGAAGTATGTACCTGAAAATTTATTTTCAAACAACATATTATCATTTTAACAGGTCTTTAATACGAGCAATTGCCATGATGTCATAGCCAGCAAGTGGCTATCCTGTATCTGTATCTGTACAGCCAGTATAACTGTCCTTCGGCGCAACACACACCAGCTTCTGTATCTGTATAGCCGGTATAACCGCCCTTCGGCGTAACACACCACTGACCAGCTTCGCAGGCACGCGACGAACAACTTGTTACACCTAACCCTGTGTTACACCTAACTTAATCCTAAGCAACAGCTGTCACAGTATCTGAAAAAAATATCTGTCAAGTATCCTAGGTTTGGCTGGTAAAATGCCCCTAGGCTGGGCACCTCAAACTTGTGCATACACGTTTCCCGGATAAATAATGAAGCTTAAAGTTCAACATAACTATATGTGTTATGTGTTCAATTTCGTAACCAACTTGCACAGAATACTTAAGTAGCTTTGTCTACAAACCCGTAAACTACATGAAAAACCACGTTTTTGTACACACGAGTTTTTATATGCTATTTAATACTTTCAAATATGCGGCTGATGCAAGGAGGTCAGGAGGCGTAGCATGCAAAAACGTGATCGCCCCCCTCCCCACTTAACGCATTTCTTTCTCGTAAACTGAGGAAAATAAAACATACCTTTGGGTCACAAAGCTTGTTCTAGCCACCATTCAAAGATTGTAGCTTGTATGCGATGTCACCTATGATAGTTTGCTATTGTTGGCTCAGTTTTCATGATAAGAGATGGAAAGAGAAATTTCTCATTTCTTTACTTTGAACCGCTATGATGACAACAAAACGTAGTCAGAACGTTTGCACGTGTACAAAAGAGAAAAAGGCAATGTACACTAAATATGATGATTGGATAATATCTATCAATTTATATAAAAGATACTGTTGGACGTTTTATTGGATATCTGAGGTACTATTTGAAGTTTAAGTGATGTAGAGAATTTTGTGCTTTTACCTTCTGATGTCATCCTTTACATTTTTAGGTCAAGAGTCATAGGTCAATTTGCCACCAAGAGTTCACCAAGAATGTAATTTGAGACGAAAAGAACAATGATTATCCACAAAATTAGCCACTTAAATAAAAGATACTCAACATTTACCAGCTATGTTTCGAATAAGAATCCGTGTTTTACCGAAAACGAATAACCAAGGACTTTTTAATTTGAAATTTCATAAGTATTGGTTGTCTTGGGATGGATTGAGATGGGCCAAATGCCAGAAACATAATCTCTCTTTACTTTTTATTTTCTATGGAAGACCAAAAACCGGGTTTCAAGAACTAAAGACTTTGGAAGTATAAATTCGCGCTGCAATTTTCCCGCCAAATTTCCGCGCGGTGCACGCTGGGTAGAAGAAACCAGATTTTCCCGGACCCTCCGAAAAGATGGCGGACGACAGTAGCGATGAAGAACAGACCGTGGCCAAAGACATCGTCGTCACCAAGTACAAGATGGCTGGCGACATGGCCAACAGTGAGTAAACCGGTCTCCACACTTTGGGGAAGATTTTCTGACAGACTTTTTCGACCCAGCATCGTTTGTTTGGCAGAAAATCGCGACCATGTGGTGCGGTGGATATTTGCCGCCATGTGCGAGCATGCTAGCCCCCCTCCCATTCATAAATTTTCTCAAATCTTTTAAGAATCAATCTATGAACCTCTGATAACAATATACTGTAGTTGATCTTCGTGTATGGTACTATTACACTAGGTCTTTGAGTGGCAACAAGCTGTGGAATGTTGAAATGCGGAAATAGTAAATTTTGCCATGATCATCCATACCGCCAGAAATTTCAAATTGTCGTGCAATATGCTGGTTTTGCGTGCGTTATGCGAACATTTTCATTGTAAAAACTACTCGATTACGAGTTGACAAGCCTTGAACTAGTCCCTAGCAATACAAAAGCGTCTTTTTATTGACCACATGGCATTTTACATGCACCTGTATAAGTCAGTGAAATGAAATTTGATACGACTGTTCAAATAGTGGCGAGCCATGTGGTTGATTTCCGCTAAATAATTATTTCATCAACATAAAGATCTATATTTATGTTTGATGTAAAAAGAAAGGAATCTAAGACACAAGAGAATTGAGGGAAATGATATTTTGGTTTGGTAATAGTTTTCCTTTAATGCCCACGATCATGATATTCATAATGATCATTCAGGCATACTCATTTTTACCTGAGCGAAGTGAGGGAATTCTTGTTAAGTCTTTCCCAAAGGCACAAGGGTGTTGACTAGGCAGGATTCGAACCCGGGACCTCTTGGTTTTGAGCTGCATGCGCTGCCGTTACGCCACACAACCCCACAAGATGATAATATTGATGTAGATAAAAAAAAAGATTAACCAAAAGTTCAAGTTGAGGTTAAAGACAAACTTAACCTTAAAGGTGAAGTTCTTGATCCTTTCTTGGTTACCAGGTATTCTAAGGAAACTGGTGAGCCAGTGCGTGACGGGTGCCTCTGTCAGAGAGCTCTGCGAAGCAGGAGACACGCTGATACTGGAAGAAACTGGCAAGGTCTTCAAGAAGGACAAGGAGATGAAGAAAGGTGCGTTTTTCTCATCATATAGAGCAGGGTCTTGTCACGGATTTGTATCTACTCAGCTGCATAATGGCAATGATTTCCAAACAGTTTTTAGTATGATCCATACTTTAAAATTGTGAGTAATGCAGCTAGGCTAAATTTGTGCATACTATGGGGGTTCAGGGGTATGCTTCCCAGGAAAATTTTGATCCCCTGAAACGCTTTTTCCCACATTTTGAGGGGCAAATTTTGCTGTTAGACTAAGCTTAGTTTTGAATTACAGACATCTCCATATCTTTACACCACGATTTTTGTCAGAATTCGTGTCGGTCTTGAGTGGTGAAATTCCATCAAATGACGGAAAAACGGGTACTGACTTGAGGTACTCATACTCGTTTGGGGGATGCCCATGAAAAAACCCACTAAGGTTCTAGGCCCTCCCCCGGGATATTTGTCCATTTTTTACTATGTGATTATATATTTCGTTGTATATCATGTGCAAAGAATCAAAATCAATTTATCAATACTGTATGTACCGTGTTGTCTTGCAGGTATTGCCTTTCCCACCTGCATCTCTACCAACAACTGCATCTGCCACTTCTCACCGCTGAGGAGCGATCCTGACTACACACTGAAGGACGGGGATGTCGTCAAAATGTCAGACATCAGATAACCTTGTTTTTTGGTAGATTTATTATATCATAACGCATAAGGTTGGCCAACTTTGTAGATAAGGCGACACCAAGGACAACTGCGCAGCCTCAAACTAATGGTAAACAAGAAAACGTGAAAAGTAAGCAGCGATTGTACAGGTATTTACTGTACACTTGAAAGATGGAGATTTGATCAGAGTAAGACATTAGAACTTCTATGTGTGCATTATTGTAGATTTGTAACATATCGTTGGCCATCTTTTAGACAATTTAAGTGTATTTTTGCATATTTTCTGATTCAAAAGAGCTGACAGAAAAAGGTTACATGAAAAATTAGCACCCTTAAAACTTTTTTGCACATATTGACTGTGTCAAAAACATCACCTTAAGTTTAACTCATCAACTTTTTTGTGCACATGTTGACTGTCAAAATCATCACCTTAAGTCATCTGGAATTTCTTACAGAGACCTCGGTGTGCACATAGATGGGTTCATCGCCGGAGTGGCGCACACTCTGGTGGTCGGTGCATCCAAGGACAAGCCTGTGACAGGACGCAAGGCTGATGTGATCCAGGCTGCATATCTAGCTGCAGAAGCTGCACTCAGGATGGTCAAGCCTGGAAACGAGGTACGCATCATTTTACCACATTACAGCAGGAAGTCTCAAGTACTAGTACTTGTACTTACTTGTACTTGTGCTTGATTAGGTCCTCTAAGCTAAGCGAGTGGCCTGTGTCGAAGTCAGTTCTTTGTCTACACAGCGTCCTGCGCCATACTTGGTGGTCGTGGGTGATTCTCTTTAGTTTAAATCCTCCAGAGTCAGACTGGGTTGGCGCATTGTCATCCTGACATCTCTAGTACACATGCAAGCCAGGTCTTCCTTCATCTTTCTCTGGAAGTGCAGTATCAAAATCACTTGCATAGTGAACCGTATAGTAAGTTTGAGTGAATAAAAGTGCTGGAGTCAAAGTTTTAGTTAACAAAAAATTGAGCCTTCTATAACTCTGAAGACAATGAAAAAGTAGTCTAGAGCAAATACGGGTAGGATGGATTTCATTCTTAATGTTTCACTGTATTTTTTTCCAGAATTATGACATCACTGAAGTTATACAGAAGATTGCTGAGTCGTACGAATGCCAACCAATTGAAGGTAAGCTAAAGTATGGTTATTCTTACTTACAACATTAGTGGTCCTACAATTAATGATACACCTAGGCCTTGCACATATAACAGCAAGCATTGTTTAAGTCCCTTCTGTACTTGGTGGCAACGAGCTGCACTCTAAGATATTTATTTCTTCAGACTTGTAACATGACAATACAAAGTGTCCACTAGGCAGCAAGTATGCTGATAGCGTGCACACCTAACACATACCTATATGACGTAGAAAAACAACAATAAATAGTTAGAACAAGACATATACACAAATAACATTATTCGATACTCTATACACTAAGATAGTACTTCTAGGAAAAAAGAACACCTCAATCCTGGGTTGATAACTCTGGTAATTTAAGGCATGACTATGAATTGTTCTTTCCTGAGCTGAACTAGTAGTACATTTGGTATGTTTTGGAAAATGTTTTTAAGTGTAAGATTGTCTGTTTTTCCGCAGGCATGTTGTCTCACCAGCTGAAACAGAACGTGATCGACGGAGAAAAGTCTGTCATTCAGAACCCCAATGAGAACCAGAGGTAAAGTCTCATCCTTCTGTTTTCTTCAACTGGTGTGATGTACTTTGTACACAGATACAGAAAGATACTGCCCCTACTGTGGGGCACATACTGTACATCAAAGAATGTATAGACCTTAGAAACAGCAGTGCAAGAGATATGTTAACCATAACAGGTTGATTTATCCATATTTTTGTATGTTTGTATATGTAGGTACATCTGTAGAAGAAATTAGAAACTTTGTTGTGTCAAAGATTTCTCTGTAATGAAATTGTGCCATTGAGTGACAACTTCCCAAATTCTAGATCCAGAGGACGAGCCACTGACCATTGTATAACTACTATGTCCCGTATGATTGTATGATATATGTTTTGTCTCTGTACAGGAAGGAACACGACAAGTGTGAGTTTGAGGTGCATGAAGTGTACGCTGTCGACATTCTGGTCTCGTCCGGGGAAGGAAAGGTAAGACATCAGCCATTATATGTTCTCTTACCCTGGCTCTATTGGGAGTATTGTGCTTCCCACATCCCTGCTACTGGTCAGGCTAGAGTCTTGTAAACAGACATGTGTTAAACAGACTACACTTTTTTCTAGCCTGATTGATTCACTTCTAGATCTAGCAGCCCTTCCACTACTAGTCAAGTCATATAGAGCCAGCCTTGTAGTTGTACAGCGAGTTTGTGTTACTGGTATGTCGACTACACCATCAGCTTTCCTGAGTAACTCATGCGTCTAGATCTAAATGAATAAAAGACAAATGAATATTTATCAGTCTTGCGCTTTAGTTTGTGTAACAGACAGACTACACTGTCAGTGTGCTTTGTTGAATTTTTCTGAAAAGACAGTGAACTGATACTTTGTTGTGTCTGACATCTCAGGGCCGTGAACAGGAGACGAGAACGACAGTGTTCAAGAGACAGATGGACAGGGTGTACCAACTAAGGATGAAGGCGTCCAGAGGTACAGAAATATTGATAAATCGACCTAGCAATGTCTTAAATTTGCCTAAGGTTGTTATGATGATAAATTTAGCTCATTAGAAAGCTTTATATACGTGTGCTTGTGTGGTCTGCCAAAGCTTTAAATTGTGTGTAACAACGTATACTTATTTGCATGAAGTTTCCTATTTTGTATTTTTGACAGAATGTATGATGTATCTTGTCCTCATTTTCTCCACACAGCATTCTTCAGTGATGTAGCCAACCGATTTGCCACCATGCCTTTTACGCTCAGGTAAGACAATAAAAGAGAAGGAAAAAAATGACCTGCTGTTTCCTTTGGACTTGGGGTTCAAAGATTATTTATTTCTTATATTTTCCTTGTATTTTCACTTGTGTTAATCTTGTAGTACACATGAAATTCACTTGACTATTACTTATATTTTCCTTGTCGTTTCAGGTTGTTGGATGATGAGAAGAAGGCGAGAATGGGCGTGGTGGAGTGTGTCAATCACGAGCTGCTTACTCCATTCCCTGTGCTGTATGAGAGAGAGGGTTAGTAACATTGTCTCTCCCTAGCCTCACTACATCACACTTCTAGCAACCCTTCCACTGATCTGGCTTAGGGAAAGAAAAATGTTGTGTCTCCTGTTTCCCAAACGACCCTAGAAAAACCCACCGACCTTAAACTTTTTTGAGTGCAGAGACTATACTCAGAACCAAGAGGTCCCAGGTTCTAGTCCTGCCCATGTCACCGATCTTGTGCCCTTAGGAAAGGCATTTCACACAACTTTCCTCACTTAACTCAAGTGAAAATGAATGTTGTCAGTCCTGTATTTGTTTATATGTGTGGGACACAACACCAGCAACAACTGCCTGTGTCCCACGTTGCAATTTTAATAAATCAAATCAAATCAAATCAAATCAATGCTTAACTACTTTTCTTTTTCCAGGAGAATTTGTTGCCCAGTTCAAGTTCACGGTTCTCCTGATGCCAAACGGGAACATCCGGATAACGGAGGGGCCGTTTGACCCCGACACCATCAAGTCAGAACACGAGGTCACGGATGAGAAGATCAAGGCCGTTCTCAGTTCCTCTGCCAACAGGAAGGCTGCGAAGAAGAAGAAAAAGAAGGTAAAGTCTTCTTAAGTCAAACTCTTAAAGTAACTCTTGCTATCATGTTTAGAGCTGTTACTGTGTGTACTGCTTGTGCATTCTATGTATATATAGAATACAACACAGTGTATTCCGTATTGTAATACAATAATTTTGTTTATGTCATACCCTGCCAAGGAAACGTGCCGTTTATGCAAAATGAGCCAAAATTTGGTGTCCCTAAACCCTAAAATGCAACAGTTCCAATGTCCGAATTCTGTATTCGAATTTTCGAAAGCGGCGTTAGAGCAAAACGGGTTCAAATCGTTCTATGGAAGCCCAGGTTGTACCTTAAAATCGCGGCCCGAATATGATATAATCATTTTAACACTACTCGTCTCAGGCATTTTATAATTGCTTGTTCATAGCTGCCATTTCATGTACATGTATGTACAGAACTTTTATTTATGACATTGTTACTGAAAATGTATTTAATACCTCGTATTTTTCCCCGCTGCAGGCATCGAAGCAGGCTGAAGGGCAAGTTCAGGAAGCCACCACACAGCCGTGATACCCAAACTTTAAACTTCCTCACTTCCTAACTTCTACCCACAACAAATTAATACAAAACAGTAAAAAAATACTCCGTGGGTCTTTATATAGTTACCATCAGAAGTGGACAAATTTTGCTACCATTGCAACAAACATGTCTTTTTCCCTCGTATTTTCTAAACGAAAATGAAGAAAACTTAAGTTACTGAAAACCTGCTGGCATGTCGTCACTTAACTGATGACATACAGTCTTAAATTCCACCTCCCCTTTTGAGTTTTTTTGTAGTACTGTAATTGTTGCCCCTCTTAAATGTGTACAAAAATCTAACTTCCACTGCTATTTAAGACCGAGATATCAGAGCTGTGAAATTTTGCACTCTATATTAAATAGATAATACTTAAACTTCTCCTATTGGAGATTTAATAAAAGACAAACAATAATACTCAACTTTCTCAAATGAACACACAATTTGAAGCTATACTACACACACCTTTAACTTGTCCAGAAATGGTAATATTATAATCAATTTGTATGAATACTGTTTTTTTCTGTAGTAATTTTTATTAGTTACTTTTGATTATTTTCTTCAATACTATTTCTCTATAAGAATTAAGTGTGTTGAAAGAAAGATGATTAACATTGATTGGAAAATTTAAACACATAGTTGTAACTTGGAATATAGGATATTATATTACATTTGCTTTTAAATTGTGTTCTTTTTGAAAGAACTAGCTATAGATGGAAATGCATCGTATTGATTGCATTTTGTTTTTTTTCCTTGTGTAAAACAAATTATTTCTTTCTTAGTCAATCACCTGGAATCCTTTGTTGTGTTTAATATAAATGAACTGTTAGAATTATAATGTGTCAAGATGCAGGTATCATTGAACAGCAAATTTCTACTCTTTTGTTTTGCCAAATGCACAGCCACCATGCATCAGCTCCTAATTAACTGTTAACAGACATGGTTCGTGGTAATATTTTCTGTCAATCATGTTATGCAGACATGATTCTCTACAACCAATCAGATCGTGTTATTCCTGGTGTAATAGCCAATGGCATCACACCATCTAGCGTGTCCAGTTGGAAGGATGTAAGCCAATCAGATCGTATGTGTATCGGTGCGTGTGATTGGTCGAATTAAGACGTGGAGTGGTGATGTAGGTTTTTGTAACCAATGGCCATGTTTGTTGCAATGGCTGTCTTGTTCGCAGTCCTCAAGGATACAAGAAGCTATGGAAACTTAATAAAAATATTTCCATTCTAGTGCCCATTGTATATTGTGTGAAATATGTTGATTTATTATTTTCAGGTGCAGAAGTAGGTGCTTTAGGTGACTCAGGCAGGACTCAGAGTAGGTTGACAGCATGTGGGTAAGGTCAGATTGACAGGCAGAGTGACAAGTCAAAGGTCTCTGAATCTGGCTGGGAGCCAGCAGCCACAAGGAAATTCAGGAAGCATAAGATTGCATACTTTCTGAATGTCTAAAATCTCTGACTTCTTGTTTTCAAAGTACAGAAGTTAAGAATTTACTTTTCCACTTAGTTATAGACGGATGTGACTTGTAGTTTATGAAACATAGAACTTGATAGTCATAATAGAATATGCCTCAACATCATAGCTAAACGCATGAACTTTGGAGTTCTTTGGACAACTTAATAAACTTAAACACACACACACACACATATATATATATATATACAACCTACACACACATATATATATATATATACATACACATATACATATGTAGATATAGATATATTTTTTATATATCCTGAAATAACCAGAACGTATATGAAATGCAAAGGTTTCTGTCCTAGTATATGGGTACTTTTATTTAAGGTCCGTGGTAGTATTTGAGTGACGTTTAAGACGTCACACATGCTACTGTAGTTAGACTGTAGGTTGTAGAAAGTCTGTGGCGTCCCCCGTCTTTGTTGCAGTACCTCGATGTTAAAAGAGGCCATCTACATGTACATCAGAGTATATTGCAACCTTCTGTTGAAAATTGCGTTTAATTTTGCTTCATGAAGCACAAGCACGTAGAGAGACTGTTACATGTTTATTAGTGAGCTGTATTAAGAGCGGCGGCCAGACTTTTCCTGTCAACGCTGCATGTTACAAGTGACATCACAACTCTGCCGGCCCGCCCATATGACGCGGGCGATTTATCTTCCTCGCGGCCACAAATACCCCGCCAGGGTTTATAGCATTGCCCCGAATCCAGTAAGCCCACAGCAAGTAATTTTCATGGATGACATCAGCGCGCGCATTAGTTTTCGCCTGATTTGGGAAAAAAAATTGTTGCCCCTGACAGTGGTCAGCTAGCATGCCGAAAATCGGCAAAGATGTCTGTCTGTTGCCATGCCGGAATGTGGATAGTAGATACCGGGTAAATATGAAGAGAGGAGACAAGGCGATGCTCTGATTTATTGTTTTGTCATTTAGTGTTGGCGCAGTGATGTACAAGTGTATGTCATTCCTTTTATATGTGATGCTCCCATTGAATGAAAACCATTTGTAGAATGATTGAAAACATTTATTTTTCTGTGACAATGGATGTTGTAATAGTTGGCCGTAAACTTAGCACAATGTAGGCATCATTTCTTGTTTAACAAGATTTATGATGCAAGAATTTGAAAATGTAGGAATCTTGTTTTTTTGGCCCGCCCGTATCGCATATTAATTAGATTTGGAGTCTGCGGAGGATGTCATCCATAACATTTCTTCCTATGGCCTAAGCCTTGATCGTCCTTCTGCAAATAACGGCAGGTATCCGCGGCATTTGGCAGCCGCCCGACAACCGCCGAGTGCCCCGCGAGCTTGTTTGTCTGATTCCTCTGATCGGGCGCCGCCAAAAGCTCCCCTACGATATAGAGACGTACATTGTACAACGCACGGTGTCACGGCGGTGGCCATTTTCAACGTCCAAGTCTTTACGATTTTGCAGCATTCTTCCGATTCATTGACAAGGTAATCTATGTATGTATTTATTCCATAGTTGTACATACTGTTGAAGTGCAATATCCGGTATTGTTGAGCAGATAAACAGCATACATGTAGCAGCTACGTTCAGTAATACGTGCTGGCTTTACTCGACGTGTGCTTAATATAGGTCTTGGCGACGCTTGTTTTTGGTTCATCGCATGTTGGCAGACTGCGTCGAACCATTGAAGAAATACTAGATTCGGTGTTGTGATAACCGATATCAGTTTGCCAAGTTGTCAGAATGTGGTTTGCATTGTCAAATTATCGCAACAAGATTATCACATGATGTAAAGTTGTTTTAACATCTTCATGAACTTGCGTGTGGTTTCTTTACGTGTAGTGTGTTCTTGAATGATGACTATATATGCTGTTTATCTCATGCTGGACTGTCTGTTATGTGTTTGCGGACCCGTTGCTATTATAATTAATCACGTCAATAATTTCTGGTTTGTTTTGATGTACTCTGATGTTAGATTTAGTGGTTCAAAGAAGCTAATGTTTCAATAGAAATATCACTTAATTCAAAACGTCTGTTGTAGATCGATTTACTACTATATATTGCCTAGTGTGCCTACTTAAAAGTCTGTTTTTTTTTTCTGAATTTGTACTCTTTTTTATTGCAGGAAAGTAACAATGTCCTGGACCACGTGCTTGGTTGTTATGTTTGTTCTTATGTCACCCGAACATTGGGTACTGGCAGAGGACTTCACTGACCCCTTTTCTAGAGGTGAGCAATATATATCAGCTGCTTCTTATGAAAATTATAATTGCAAAGAAGTATAACTAAGTCGTTCATCTCAAAAGTCGATGATATATGATAAGGGCAGCAAAATATCACTGACAATATCTCATGTTTATTGAAGGTAAACATGTTGTTTTTGCTCTGTTTCTTCTTCTTCCGTTCCAAACACTGACCTCTGGCCTGGTCAATGAGACTGTCTCTCACCATGGTAACTGGTGTTGGGTTACATAATGTTGCAATTTTATAGTAGGAGGGATTTAGACTCCTGTCACCATATATGTGAATGTGTTTGAGTGAAAATTAACAGAGCGGATGCGAAGGTAAACATTATGCGTTTGCTTTGCAAATGTGTGACCTTTCTAGTTATGGGTTGCACCAATTTTAAAGGACAGCAAAATATCACAATATCTCATTTTTACCATGTTTTACCTACAGAAATTGACGACCTGCTGTTCCAAATCCTGATGGACTCGTCCTTCGAGCCGAGTTCTCTCCTCCAAATGCCGGACTTCAGCCTGGGGCCCTTCCCTCCACCGCCCATCCCCCCTCCTCCACCGCCCACCTCGGTTCTGAAGAGGCTGAGGCCGTCGGGTGAAGTCGGACCTGATCGGGAATCTCCGGAGGAGCCCGACGGAGAACATGTCACGCCGACTTCAACGCCGACGACAGTTACCGGAGTGTTTAAGCCAAAGGTGTTTTTATTTGACAAAATAAGAGTAAAATCAAGAAGCCAACAATTTCAGTAGACTTATTAATTTGGTCAATTTTATTTCTCGAAGGGACTAAAACTTGAAACACAATGTGTACAGTCACCTGCGCAACCTAACTAGAGATAGATAGTTTTTAACAACTCTTGTTGTAATTAGATGTGTTATTCAATGTATACATGTAGCGAAGCTGGTGTGTTACATCGAAGGGCGGTTATAATGGCTTACACAGATGCAGATATACATACCTGATGGAAAAAATTGAAGCATCTCCAAAACTATGAATTGACGCACAAAGTATTAACCACTCAACATGGTGGACAATGCCTTAGGTCACAGTCACAAGTTGTTCTAGTGTGTTACGCCGAAGGGCGGTTATACCGGCTATACCGATACGGATACAGATACAGATACGTGAAAGAAACTCCCCATAATATCCTACTTTTCATCCCATGTAGCCGGATGGTACCTGTGAGGTCACGTGCCCGTCGTCCCCAGGCCCACCCGGTCCACCTGGTCCGCCCGGCTACCCTGGGCCGAAGGGAGACCCGGGATCAGGCTTATCAGGCGGAATTAAGGTTTGCTACTACATTTCTTATTCATCTTGAAAAGATACTGTGCAACACCCCTCTGTTGGGGTAAGACACACAGGGGGTGTGCGCTGCGTTGTAATAGTTTCCTCAGGTGCAGGATCCGGAGTACGGCTTCCTTGAAGTTGTCAGGTTATTGAATGTTATTGTTATTGAATGGGATATTCTTGATAACTAACTTTTTCAATAAAATGGAATGATGCTGGCTTACTAGTAAGTCCAGGGCAATGCCTCTGAGATGGGGCTAAATAAACCAGAAATAAATCGATAAAAACAAGAATGATGGCTTTTTATGCATTTTATGATTATTATAGCTTTAAATTGAATTTATATTTTCAGGGAGAACCCGGTACACCTGGTCTTTCTGGTCCCACGGTTGGTCAACGTTGTGTGTCATTTTATACGTTTTCTTCTTTTTTCTTCAGCTTTGGGTTTAAAGGCTTTTGATATGGCATTAATTTCCGGAACAAACTTTGTTCTTACTATAGATTATGCATTCCATTCTTCCCCATTACAGGGTAAAGCAGGTCCTCCTGGTAATAAGGTTTGTTTAGTTGGTTACTGTAGCTGCTCACGAGTTTGCTCAAGGCATGTACCTTTGGCAGATCGGAAGCATCTTTTTTAAGGTTGAATTGTAGTTCCCTGATGCTTGCCTGTGATGTAGATGACGAATCTTTCTTTTACGTGGCAAAGTTGCAACGACAAAAGAAGGAGAGCTGTTAAGTTGACTTAAACTATTGTATCACAACATTTGTCGACGCAAGTTTTTGGACGGTGTATTCAATGACATCCGCACAGACACCGTCATCCCCCTCTGAAGTCTGAAGTCTGTGCTTGCAGGTCATTTCTTTTTATGATCGCATGAGGCCAAACTGGAATTCGAAGATCTTGCATCATGATAAGTTGGTCAAAAGACATACATCTTCTACTTCTAGTTATCTAACTCTTCGAAGAGCCAGGGCATATGGTAGCATGGTCATAGTTGCCTTTGTGTATTAGTTACACTTGTAAGTCAGATACATGTGTATACATCACTGTTCCTGACCATGCTCCAAGTTCTGGCTTTATGTACTTTGATAAGTTGGACTAGAATACATCTTTTAGTCAGCTGAGAAGACAAGATAGACATCTGATGGCATGTGGCATGGTCACAATGAGGTTACACTTGAAAGTCAGATACATTGTGTACACATCACTGTTTCTGACCATAAGCTTGCCCCAAGTTCTGGCTTTATTTAGCATGATAGGTTGCATCAGACTGCATCCTTTAGTCAGCTGAAAAGACAGGACATCTGGTGGCATGTGGCATGGTCACAATTTATTTTATTTATTACAATTGACCACATACATAATACTCATGGAGGGCATGGTGGAACAGGTGCATCTAAGTGCACCTTTTCAAGGCCACCATACCACAATGAGGTTACACTGGAAAGTCAGATACATGTGTATACATCACTGTTCCTGACCGTGCTCCAAGGGTTCCCGAGGTTTGCGCGGTCCGTTCGGCCTGCCTGGTCGGAAGGGTGACAAGGGTGATCCTGGTCCTGAAGGGATGCGGGTAAGGGCTGCTGCACAGTGCTCTGATGCCTCGGTTCCTGTTTGGATTCTTCAGGATGAGTGTGTGTGTTCACAGTGATGGCACGGCTGTAGAAAAATTCGCATCAAGGAAACTTGTCATCCTATTGAGTCTGAGAGTCTTCAAAGTGTCAAAGGCATGAAATGGATGAAGATGGTTTAGGAGGCTGTTGACGGCGTGGCATGAACATGCCATCATCTCTTTGTAAATGGCATGTTGCCTTGTCATTATTGTCAGGCAGGATTTGCTACCTCAATGCTTCCTCTATAGCTGAAGAAATGAAGCTCGAGGATTGACTAGTGTACTCAAAGTTTGCAATGCAGCAATGCCTGGAAAATGAGAACAATATGGGAAATTGTCGATAATCAATCAGCTTCATCTACAGATGAACAGAACCTGCTTGGTTTAGAATGTTCACAAACATGACAAGAATGCAGATGTTGTTCTACCATGCTAGAAGTATCATGGTAATGATCAACAGATAATGCTAAGATATTGTTCTTTTTACTTTAGGAACAGGCCATGTAGCAACATGAATGCTGGTCATCAAGAATCTTTTTACTACAAGAACCTGCATGGATGCAGATACGGATGTGGTTCTTCCATGCTAGATACATCTACAATGATGCTAAGATGTTGCATGTTTTGGAAAGACCCCATAGAAACTTGAATGATAGCCTTTTAACAAGGTTGTATCTTTCCCCAATCTGCAGGGAGAGAGAGGACAGAAAGGCGAGAGAGGCTTACCTGGTGTTATAGGACCAAAGGGAGACAAGGTGCAGAATCAAACCAACTTTCTCACAAAATATCATCACGATACGACTTGTGTGATTCTTCACAAATGTAACATTTCTAATGAAGCTTTATCTGCTGATCTTGTAATTGTTTTAAAAACCTACTTATTCAAAATAGTCACGGCTTGCTTGGTGTGTTTCTGTTGCAGGGGTCCATTGGAATGAAAGGAGATAAGGTATCATATGACAAAACTTTTACAAGGTTAGGCCACACCAATTTAATTTGTTGGTTCTCGGATTTTTTCAGGAAAAATATGAAGCGACAGGGCGAAAAAAAATAAAAATAAAAACAGATCTAGGCATCCTATTATAGCCCCAAATGCTACGATAGGAGGTATGAAGTCAACACAAAATGCTGGTTCAAAATTTAAACAATGAATTTTGAACTTCTAATGATACCACTGCATTGAAAGATGGAATAACTGTAGCGACTAGGAAGAAAAGGACTGTTTTCAACTGTTCAGGGCAAAATATGAGCATTTTGCAGTTGATTCTGAAATTTTTTTGCAAATCAGGAAAAAATGAAGAGGCGAATCCGAGAACCAACAAATTAAATTGGTGTGGCCTTAACATCAATGATACATTTGAAATAAACATGTCATAGGTAGTACAGAAAGTCAAATCTCTTCTTTATAACTAGCTTAATAACCAGTTAATCGACTATTAATTTATAATGCTTCTGTCATTACGATTTATCAGATTAATACTATAATACTAAAACCACATTTTCCGGGTTTAGGGAGACCCTGGCATTCCTGGATCGCCTGGTGAAAAAGGTGCAAGGGTATGTCAACTCGGCTTTGTCTGCATTCTGATGATTTCCTCCACTTCCATAGCGGGCTTCTTGACTTAGATTAAAGAGCATACACACATTGTATAAAAGAAACATCACATTAGAAGTCCAGCATAAATCCAGGTCTTGAAGCCTGCTATATAAACCATAGTCCTCTTACCTTTTTATTAGACTTTATAACCTTTCCTGTAAGTACTGTTGCATGGGTCCACATCTTTCGATTTTAATCTGAGATATTCTTACAAGAATATAACTGACAGGATGCCAGAATCTTATGTTTTTCATCTCTATAGTTAATGATATCTATTCTATAGTTTATTAACATCTGTTGTCATTTATTTAATATTTACTACATTTGATATATCTTTCTTTTCATTTAATACCTTCTCGATTACTCATTGCTCTGTATCTTGTAACCAATTGCAAGGGGATGTTAGGTTTTCCGGGGCCTCCTGGCGGCGAAAAGGTAAATTGCAGGAAATCACTGTTTTTCCTTCAAGGACTTTTGTTGCCAACTGTACACTTAATTTTGGCATTGTACTTAAACATGTATTGAAATGGTGCCATAACTTAACACATACTACATTCAAAGTTAGTCTTTTGCTAACCAGGACAAGGATCGTTACTGTCTTTGAAGCCCTTTGATAATTTATCAAACTAAATTCTTTTTTCAGTCACAGCCTGCTCAACTGTCTTTTCAACTTAACTTCAAATTATTCCAGGGAGACAGAGGACTATCCGGACCCCCAGGTGGCCCTGGGCAGCCGGGAATACCTGGTGTGTCAGGCAGGAGGGGCAAAAAGGTACAGTCTCCATCGTACCCAATAAATCCCAACATAAGTTATCACAATAATAGTGATCGTAGATTAGAATGATTTGTTTCCAATACTCAATAATTAGAATTGATACATCGCTTGCGAATACTCTGTTTTGGTCTCCTTTGGGTATTTCGACATCTCTATGTACATCTAATATCCATAACAAAAAGAATCTCAAGCAGAAATCAGTGCCTTGTTACCGTATCATCCATAGAGCAGTTGGATGGTTTGGAGAGAAGGCTACTATACTATGTATGGCGACTTACTTTCGAAAAATCGCATTTACAGACAAAATTTAGAAACTAAACAGGTTTTATGATACATGTATTACGTAACTGTTGTTCCAGGGTGATCGCAGTTTTTCGAAGTTTCTCTGCACTTCTGATTTCCATGACAAAAGGGATCTCAAGCAGAAATCAACTGAAATCAACACTTTGCCTTGTTTCCTTATTGTCTGTAAATGAAAGAAGCTTCCTAATATTATGTGACTGTTTCTCCAGGGTGACCGGGGGTTCCCGGGACCAGTGGGTCCCAGGGGTTCTCCTGGGCCGGCCGGAGTGCCGGGTAAACCGGGGTCCAACGGAGTGGCCGGGCCGGGTGAGAGTTTGACTTTCATAATGGTTTATGATTCATTTATGTGAAAAGTAATGCCCGATAGGTAACGTACAGACACTAAAACATGAAGAGGTAAACACTGTCTAGTTTACAGACCTAAGTAATGTGTCTCCATATATATAGTACACTACTGAGTACATGAATACATTACTGGGTTTGTTGAAGGAGGTTGAAAACCTTCATTTGACTTCTTTTTTTGAGGACGTGACCAATGAATAGAGTCTGTGCATCATTTCTGATACTTACTTGAGTCCTTGAATAGTATTGACAGTGCCAGAATCAGCTAATTGCTGGTCACAAGTGATCATGTTGACTACACACAAATCTCTACAAGTAAAACATATGACGAATGAAGATTTTTTCTTTCTCTAAGCTGGAGGTAAGAAAGGCGACAAGGGTACGCGGGGACCCCAGGGACCGCCAGGCCAGTGTAACTGTATAAACGGGCTGCAGAACCCATCAACGGCCATGATGAGCGTACGTGTTTTTTTTATACCACTAGCCATTTTTGTTTTGTTCAAATATATTACTTCAGAACTTCAGTCTCTATAGCCAGGAGCTAGGCGGCGGATAGCCATTTGTCGCTCTTCAGACAAGCATGGTGTCTTGGTGCTTTTCAATATTGTTCTTGGGAAAATACTTCATGTGTGCTTAAGTGAATTTTGCAATGAAAACAAATAGCTAACAACAATAGAACAACGAATAGACTAATGCTGGTAAACTTGAACTAATAAGGCTGATATGCAACGTACATTTGCCCTACGGTCAACACTAAATACAGCTCTCCATAATTATGGAAAATAGCCCATTGCTGCCGATAAAAGAAAAGAAGTGTTATAGTTGTAATCCCAGCTTATTTAGTTTTTTAATGACAAAAAACAATTTTACTTTTTTTGTAACTGTTCAGATCCAGTGGGTTGCTGATGAAAAAGAGATGAACAGAATTTCTCAGGAGGGGATGATCGTGTACAGAGGAGACATCAAGCGGCTCTATCTGCGTGACGACGTGAAGTGGCGTCCCGTACGGGTCAGTATGGGTGGTTTTGTATTGGTCTGAAACCTGGATCATAGAAATCATAACAGTAGTCAATTTAGTCTTGTGGTTGTGTATTTTACTCAGAATCTAAAGGTTCTAGATTTGAATCCTTAGCAGATCGCCGTGCTTATATATAATTAGGGAAGTCACAAGCACTTTACACTTGTCTTATTTCTTTGCTCGAAGCAGGTTCAAATGAGGGCTACTAGTTTCATTCAGGGGTGTCCTTTAGGATAGGACGTAAAGCGGAATGGCGCAATCTACACCTTCAGCACGTTAAAGAACTCACCACACTTAACGAATAGGGCTATTTCCCATTCAACTATAACAACGCCTGTCCTTGGTGCTGAAACACCATCTAATCAACCTGCTAGTTAATAACAGTACTGTAGGAATCCACTAGAGGGCGCTACTGACCTGCTGTGTGTTTTCCCAGACGTCCTACTGTGGAGACGGGATTGTGGATGACGAGGCCGGGGAGGAATGTGATGATGGGAACCAGATCAGCACGGACAGCTGCATCGGTCAGACTCTCTCTCTCCCTGTTTGCGTGTGTGTGTGTGTATGTGAGTGAGTGTGTGTGTGTGTATGCGAGATCAGCATGGACAGCTGCATCGGTTAGACAGTCTTACTTCGGCCTCGCGGAATGAAGTGTTGCTTTGGGCTTTTCTATTTCTCTGTATCTGTTTCTTACACTCTGTGGGTGGATGTGTGTGGGGAGAGGTAAGGGTGTGGGTACGTGTGCGGGTTGCTTTTGTGTGTGTGAGTGTGTGTGTGTGTGTGTGTGTGTGTCTATGTGTGATTGTCTATGTGTGTGTGTGTGTGTGTGTGTGTGTGTGTGTGTGTGTGTGCGTCCGTGTGTGTGTTTGTGTGTGTGTGTGTGTGTTTGTGTGTGTGTTTGTGTGTGTGTGTGTGTGTGTGAGTGTGTCTGTGTGTGTGTGCGTGTCCCTGTGTGTCTGTGTGTCCGTGTGTGTGTGTGTGTGTGCGTGCGTATGTGTTTGTGTGTCTGTGTGTGTCTCCATGTGTGTGTGAGTGTGTATGCCAGATCAGCACGGATAGCTGCATCGGTCAGACTTTCTCACTTTCTCACTTCAGTACCGCGGAATGATGTGATGCTTTGGGCTTGTCTGTTTCTTTCAATCTCCCTCCTCTCTCCCTCTCTCTCCCCTCTCTGTCTCCTTCTCCCCCTCTCTCTCTCCTCTCTGTCTCTGTCTCTCTCTCTCTCCCTTATGGGTGGTTGGCTTGTACGCCTCTGTGTGTGCATGGCTTGAAGGGCGAAAATAATCTCCAAGCAGATCCTACTGTGGCAAGACAGTTTCCATTTGCCAGAGGAGTGAGCCTGTATCCATTAGCTTGTGGGGTCAGTCCTCTGGCCAAAGGATACTGTCTTAGTTTACAACGTCACCGTAGAATTTGCTTGGAGATTAGAAAATCAGCTAATGTGTGGAAAAAGGCTTTATCCTAAGGCTTTTTGCCTGTTATTGCTATGACTACTGTCAAATCATTTATACATCAGCTACTGCAGACACGTAAGTGTATTGATAAGTGACACGAAGACAAATCTTCACCAACAGGTTGTAAGCGGTCGTTCTGTGGGGACGGTAACCGTCAGGCGGCGATAGAGGAGTGCGACATGGAAGACTTCGGTGGTCTCACCTGCGAGTCTTACCTACCCGGGTACGTGCTTGTTCGCTGCTTTTTTCTTTATATTTTATTTAGTTCGGCTTACAACAGCTAGAGTTGTCCAACTAGTCGTAGACTATTATTAAGGGTCAACTCTGGGAGAAAATAGAATCGTTAGATACTACATACAAATACAATTGGTAAGATACACGGTCCAAATTTACAATATTATATACATGCATTGAATTATACAATGCTATGTTTTCTTTCAGTGTCTCATACAAGCCTTCTATACATGTACGTGTGTATGTGATATGGGCATGTTTCGTTTAGTTTCTTTGATCTGTTCAGTTATGTTCAGTTCAGTTTAATATGTTTAACTTAACATTAATTTGATGTTCCAGGTCTCTGGGAATTCTACTGTGCAACAGTCGGTGCAAAATCGACTCCAGCAACTGTTTTTATCCGAGAGGATAGTTTGGATCGTCAAAAGGCTAATAATGTTTCGTACACTACGTGGATTACGCGAGAAGAAAACGCGCAGTCGTGTTTCGTCGAATTTCGGGATGTCAAATTACCTTGCTGGAAGACCCTCAGACTCCACATGGATTACGCGGGAAGGAAAGGGAAGAAAACGTGTGGTTGTTGTTTTCGGTTGAATTTCGTGATGTCAAATTACACTGTTGGACTTGTTTGTGGAAAGATATACGTTGTGTTCTGGACCGATACACTATCTATAAAAGACAGCCAAAAGGCTGATTTTTTTTTCTAACCCTAAGGAGAAAAGACACAGACTCATTTGCAAACGGGCTCTGTTATAGAACATTTATGTAGTGTATATTCTTATAATGTACTGTCAAAGTTATATTATCACAAAGTTCTGAAAGGATATGTACAATATAGCAACTACAGAAATTGTCTCACAACGTACTGGCACTTCGATTCCATATTGGTAGCAGCTTTGAGGGCTTAATCTTAAATCTAAAGTTTGGACTTACGACATAAAGGTTTCTCATCACAAACATTACGCGGTATACGTACTCGTACCATTGATAACAACCAGGGTACCAAACATTTGTGTACGAAACATACTAATTATTATGTCCTTAAAATTTTGAAAAGATATTCACGTATATCATTGTTAAGCTCATGAGATTACAATACTAAGTATTACGATACTTCAATAAGTTGCAACTTTTTGAAATGGACTGTCAGAAGGCCTAGGGTCTCTTACAAACAAAAGCAACACAACACAACATGATACTAGTATATAAACCGATACTAAGAAATATCCAGTACTACCCGCGTAATGAAGATACTATATTTAAGGTTAAAGGAGTTCTTATTAATTACTCATTTCACTATATTTTGAGCAGTTACCCTGGTACAATGCAAGCCTGCTTTGGTACACGTTGACGTTCTTTCATTTGACTCAAAAATGAGAAAATACCACTATAGAGACAAGAATATCTTTGTAGATTGCCTTATACGTTGGTAACCATGGTGATCAGGATTTGCTTTCTCACAACTGTCTTATTCTGTTCCGCTGGATCCAGTCTGGTTCCGTTGCACTTCCGGTGCATCTTGATGTCCTGGCTGGTCTCGTTCCCAAGGTTGCTTCCGGACAAAGATGGCGGCAGGTTGAACGAAACACTTGACTGGGTAGAGGACGTTTTCCTGTGAGTTTTAGATGAAAAAAAAAATGCGTTGAAAGATTCATTTTGCACAACCCCAATATCCTTCATATTCTGTCTCTTAAGGAACAGAGCTAACTGCACACTACTGGAAGGGGTCGCAGTCCTTAGGCCGGGACAAATAGCTGCGGTCCACTGTTCATTGTGCTTGTCGAAAAGAGCAAGGGGAATTTCCCCAGTTCAATGAACCTATAAATACTGTACATAGCGTCTGTCTTCTCTGTCATGACCAGTGGGAGATTAGCTCTTCAGTGAGTTAAAACTGGATCGAAATAATTCCCCTTTCCTTTCCTTGTGTGTGTGCGTGCGTGCGTGTGTGTGTGTGTGTGTGTGTGTGGCTTTTTGTCAATCTGAAACTTAAGAAGGTAGTTGCCAGGGGTAAAAATGTGATTGTACAAAGTACTTACATGTCTGAAGCGTCCAGTTCTGCACTGCTGGCTGAGTAAGAGGAGGCGAGGCTGCCTGATTTGTGTTTCCGTCCATCAGGGACTATCAGCAGGGAGCCTGTGTACAAAACATCATGCATGACAGATATTAGGTAACTAAATGTAGCTTATGTTGTAGCAAATTCTTGGTTGATAACTCTGATACTTGAAGACATGGGCTGGACCTAGATACTTAGTGGTTGGAACCTAAATCAGGGTCAAGTTGTGATTGTCTTGAAGCTTGTAAGTAGCTGCAACATTTGGCCTGACAATGACAGTAACCTATGACCTGACAATGACAGTAACCTCTGACCTGACATTGACAGTAACCTCTGACCTGACATTGACGGTAACCTCTGACCTGGCATGGACAGTTACCTCTGACCCGACATTGTCAATAACCACTGACCTGCCATTGACCGTAACCTATACCTGACATTGACAGTGACCTCTGACCTGACATTGATGGTAACCTCTGACCTGACATTGACTGTGACCGTGGGGACTCCTGACATTGACGGTAACCCCTGACCTGACATTGCTGGTAACCCCTGACTTGACATTGACAGTAACCTCTGACCTGACATTGACAGTAACCTCTGACCTGACATTGACAGTGACCTCTGACCTGACATTTATGGTAACATCTGACCTGACATTGACGGTAATCCCTGACCTGGCATTGACAGTAACCTCTGACCTGACATTGACGGTGACCTCTGACCTGACATTGAGGGTGACCGTGGGGAGTCCTGACAGGTGTCTCTGACGTAGCTGCACGTCGTTTCTGCATCAGCGTCGATGTCGCTGTCCACCTGCAGCTGTCTCATCAGGGAGTCCAGCTGTTCCGCTTTCTGGGGTGGAAGAAGGCAGTAAATGTTCGTTACCAATGAATACGAGCATAATATGGTACTAGGAAAGACAGGGCACTAGCAGACACTTTACCTTCCAAAACAATACAGGATAGATTATGATGATCATGATATAATTTTATGTTGATAACGTGACAATTGACTTTGCTTCTACATTCTAAACTATCAGTTGGAGCACAATTTTTTATTTATTTTTAGCTTCTTGGGCACTATCTTGGGCACTCTCATAGCATTTATTATTAGTAGATTTGTCATAACTGGTCATAATATAAAAGCCACCTCAAGGCGTAGCAGACCATTTTTGTACAGTTACTACAAGCTGTCCAAGACCATCTTATGGACAAGCGTTCTTTTGATCTAAGATTCTTACATCTTGTAGCGTTTTCTTGAGTTTGTAGTTCTCGATGAGGAGTCTTCTGGTTTTCTCTGCGGCCGACATCTGCTTGTCAGAGTCCGTGCCCTTTGACCCCGAGCGGCGGGTCAGCATGCACTTGAACTTTGTCCTCTCCTCGGCCGCCATGTTTCTCATGGTCACTAGCTGTGAGAGTATAATCAAGGGTTAATGACCTGCTTTAGGGTTAATTACAAGGTCTTATCATACCATGTATGATCGTAACATCATAAACAATCGAAATGGGGACTTCTGATTAGTCGCAGTTGTCTGGCTGTATGATAATAAAGTATAAGCCACCAAGTGTCTTTAACTATAGACGGGGCCAGGGGACGTTGTAGACTTCCTCGTCAATACTTGTTACAATGTACCGATTCGGAAATGAAAGGAAACGCGGTTGAAGTGATGGGTCATTTCCCCTGACGAAGACTGGAGTGTATGAAGAACCAGAACCATTGAGAATTTTAGAAACGCAATCTGACCTACGAAATGAGATTATATTTTAGACTAGTATAATTCTATAACAACTCTGCATGATGTTATCATATGTATGATTGGCAATTGACAAATACAACATAATTCCACGAACCTTTGGCACGAACACCAGGCAGAGCGTGATGGTGGTGCAGAGGATGATGAAGAGTGACGTCAGCACGAAGGCCTCGTTCTGGCGGTCCTTGATGACGAATGAGATGCCAGCCCCGATGACGCACATGATGACGACATTGTACACGCTCATGCCGATGTACTTACTGTCGTTCAGGGCAGGGATGTTCACGTGCCGGGTCTCCCAGGCAAGGAAACAGCCAAAGATCTGGGAAATGGAAATTAAAGTATGGGAGTATTGCTTTGGGTGGCTGAGCTGGGGGGTTGTGTATCTGCTTGCCCAGATGGGTCTCTTTGATTCAGCATCATCAGATTAATAATAAAAGGCCTGAGGAAACAACCAAAGATCTGGAAAATGTAAATCAAAGTACAGAAAGTAACGGAAGTATATTGGTTAGGGTCGATAATGAGCTGTTTTTTTAAATAGATAATGTCTTTCTTTGCAAAATTATGCCCGAAGGCTAATTGCTTTACATAATCAAAGATACCATACGGTACAATACAATGATAGGGAATAGACAACTACTGTCTTGAAATAATTGAATATTGCTATTATGAGGTTTGATTTCTTCTTTGAAGGCCGTGTATACTGAATAGTCCTACATTCTGCATAATAAGATCTGCTTGTCCAGACAGGGTAAGTTGATGGAAAGATTGGCAGAATGATAGGCCTGGTCAAAGGTCTCAAAGGAGCCAGTAGGAATGTATTAGGCAGTGAAGCAATATACCATTTTACAAATCATCAGGAAACACCATACCAGAAGCAGTCCCTTGTACACAAAGATGACAGCCAGCCACAGGGTAAAGTTGTTGCTGTCACAATGTTCCAGTACCGGCACCACAGTCACTTCTCTCCCAGGCTAGATAGGGTCAAGATATAGCGTAAATGAAAAATGGTATTTCTGTTAAGCTTGTACAAGTGACCATCTCTACATAATATCACCACTTTTTGGTAGTTCCTTAGATATTCTTTCCAATTGTTGGAATCTTGTCTATAGTTGTCAACTGTCCACACTGACCAGATTTCCTGAGTCTTGGGCATTTTTGCTGTATTTCTAGCGAACATGCCTTTTATTTTTGAACATTTGTAAGAATGTATCAAGCAGACGAACCTTAATATAGAATTTTATAGAATTTTATTAAAGAGACGCACCTCTGCGGGAAACGTCTGTAGCCCCCTCGTTAGCGGGTCCACGACCTGCCAGGTAGTGAGAATCACGATGTCCATCAGGAGAAGCACGGCCACGATGCCGAACAGCTTCACGTCCTTGATCGCCATTTTCTTCATCTTGGTGTTGGTGAAGATGACGTGAACTCGCCAGGTCTTACTGAACATGGCCCCGAACGCAAGGGTGAAGCCCACCGTCAGCATCCACGTGCGCACCTAGCGGGTACGATTGGTAGTACAGCCATGATCGTGAAGCGTACAAGATTTAAATTGTTTTCATCTGACATCCTCTTTTCACTGCAGAGAAGTCTAGATAAGATAACGGGGAATCCCTTTATTTTTTTGTAGGCACCGCCCATAAATACTAGTAGCTAAAAGAAGCAACCGTTTTCCATCAACAACATCGCATTTTTGCCTCACAGATATCGGTATGCTATGGGATAGGTTTGATTCAACTTACTACATTTGAAAATAAACAGAAAATTGTCTTTGAAAATCCAGTTCTGCGGCCATGAAGTTGCATTGAAAGCCTTTAAGAATGTGAATTTAGGGTCGACTTCAATAAGCTGTACTCACTGTGCAGAGTACTTCAAATGTCGTCTCAGAGATCAGCGCTCCGTCCAGACCCAGGAGACACACAAACAGGTAGATCAGGATGCAGCCCACTATGATGAGCGTGTTCAGGTATGGGCTGGACATCTTCACAAACCTGCAGAAAAAAATGAGGCCCTGCTTTTAACTGCGGCAATCTTATATTGACCGGGAAGCATTATTGAATTCGTGGTGATGATTGTGATCAAGGAACCATTGTTGAATTTGTATCGAAACCAAGAACAGAATTATCATTAATGTCAGCACAAATTGAAGAAGCATGCTGTAGTGCAGAAACAAAGACATTGGATGGTATCTCTTTTTCAAAGACTTTCCATGTTTTTCTAACGATATAACGTGTTACCAAGTATAACGTATTTTCTCGTGGAGCTTCCCACCTTTGATTCCTGTATTTGATGTTGAAGAAGAGGAACACGATGGCCATGAAGACCCCTAACATGGCCATGACGCTGATCATGAGGTACAGGGCCAGCGGAACTCTCCTCAGTTCCTCCACTCGCAGGGTCTTGTCTCGAGGGGGATTGTCCCCTGTGTAGGATACATAATACCCGGGGATTAGTCTGAAAAGAGTAGAAACCAGAGCCCAAAATTAAACTAGCCTGTTAGTGGAGAAAGCTCGCTGCCCGATGTATCAGTACTTGACAGTAGGATACGAGTAAGATAACATATGAAACACATCACTAGCATAACGAAAGTACAGGAAATTTCGTAAAGTCTTCTATAAAGTAAGTCTGTTATAAAAGTTATAACTGCTATACAATTAATGGCATCTAAATATCATACTTGTACAGATATTCAACCAGATAAGTTGATAAGCAACAACGAATTAGAAACATATATGGTTCAATTCAGTAGGCATGAGTGTCTCACCTTGCCATTGCACGTTGTGTAGAGCAATTGAATCATTTTCTGCAAAGTATTCTCCAACTCGAACCTCGGAGCCTTCTAAAAAGCATTAATAAAATAGAGAAACACTTTACGTGGCAGCTACATGGAGTACAAACTTCTAGTAATGAAGGATAGTGTCAGAGATGCTTATTATTCAGCACCAGAGACAGGGATGGTACCGTCTGTAGACTTTTCAGTACCAAGGACAGTGATGGTGTTTTATCATTGAGTGAATCAGAATGGGACAACCATGTTTGATTTAAAGTTACATAGTAATGTAATGTTAAAGATTGAGAGTTATGTAAACATGTACCTTGGATCTGCTCATACAGGATTGTCCCAAGCCTATCGCCGTCTCTGAATCTCACTTTTCCCTGAAGACAGAAGTAAAGGTGTTACATAACCTAGCTTTACTCGCTGAGATTCGTTCTGCCTTTTTACTCATGCTCCAAAAATGGCTTTCAAAAGTGATGTTTTCAATCATGGCAAGTCCTTAAGGAGAGGAAAGCTTTCTTAGAACCTGAGACGTTTCCGGTTTTACTGTATTTCTGTGAGAAGTCACCAGTGGGCCAAGTCTCGCGAGAATTGTGACGTCAATCGCAGTGAAAATAGGGGTCATTATTGCCAGCTCAGTGTTTTAGAAAGTGGCCTTCAGAACCCAAACGGCAAGTCTTAAAAGCTTTAGTTGGCTCTCTTGGCACTGAACAATATATCGTGTTGGCAGTCTTGTTACCTCCATGAAATGGAAGGTATTGTTTTTGGCGCGTCTGTGTGCGTGCGTGTGTGTGTGTGTGTGTGTGTGTGTGTGTGTGTGTGTGTGTGTATGTATGTGTGTTTGTGTTTCCGCATTTTTGAACCTTCATAAGTCCATAACGCCTTCATGGATTGTGGTGATATTTGGTATGCTGGTAGGTCTTAGGAGGGCGAAGGTCAAGGTCAAATATGGGCCTCCTGGTGGATGGCCTTGGTACTGCAGCAGCACTTCCGGTTTAAGGTTGAGTCAGGACATGGCTGAGAGGAATCTCCTTTATACTTGCGAGGCAGGGTAACAGATGTGGCTATGCCCAGCGAGGCAGCGCGCTCCCTCAGGGGAATAGGTGACCTATTTCAGGGCAAATGTGGCAGTGCCACTGTATGGCTGTGTGTTTGAAAACAAACAACCTGTGTTATTACCTCCATGAAAATGGAGGTATTGTTTTTGTTGCGTCTGTCTGTCTGTCTGTCTGTCTGTGTGTTTGTGTCTCCGCACATTTGCGGCCAGCATAACTTCATAACGCCTTTATGGATTGTGATGATATTTGGTATGCTGATAGGTCTTAGGAAGACGAAGGTCAAGGTCAAATATACGCCTCCTGGTGGATGACCTTGGTACTGCAGCAGAACTTCCGGTTTTTGTATCTTTTGTCTTGAATATGCTATGGTCTTGATTTTTTGGTGGCAGATAGATTGTCCTGTCAGGAATAAGTGGTGAGGGTTTGGTCCCCCTAGCAGCTTGTTCTGGAACTGCAGGGGACTTTCGGGCGAAATCTTTAAAAGCCAATAAGTCCAGATAGAAACAATGTATTTTCATCATTTTTGGTATGTAGGTAGCTGAGAGAGAGATGTACATAATTAACTGCAAATTATGCAAATGAGGACTTAATTTGCATAATTAATGAGGAAATTCTATAATTACAGTGTTTTGCAAATTATAGTACTTTCATACATGTAATGTACTAGTATGTAATCTATGGCAGATGGAACATCACCAGATACCAATTATGCAAATGATGACCTAATTTGCATAATTAATGCGAAAATTCTATGACTCCTTAGTGGTAAATGATGGGAATTTCATACTTGGTACCTGTGTAAGTTAATCAAAAGTTAACATCACGATGCATTTATTATGTTAATGTGGAGGTAATTTGCATAATTAAAGAAGAAATTAACATTTACATGTCAAGCCCATATTTCATGGAGGTATGAGATCTCGGAACTCTTGTTTGGAATAGAAAACATAGGATCATCAATTGTCAGCAAAAGGTTTATGACGCTTTTAGTGATGATTTTTTGTGTGAGAATTGTGGTGCTATATGACTCCCTAGAATCTCGTATATTTAGTTTGTTTGAACGTTTAAGTGTTTTGAATGAAGCAATATCTTCTAGAGAAGAAACTGGTGGTATTAAATGTCGGTATGGAAACCCGTATCATTCTGCAAACTGTATATCAGTACAACTCGTTGTGTAGATAGAGAAGAGGGCAAAGTTGACCTACCGTAACGCCTTGAAAGTCCGTCTCTTTGACAGCGTCAAACATGAACATCTTCATGTCCTCTTGCCTCTCGTACGTGAGTTTGACCCTGGGCACGTTCCCCTCCTGCTGTAGCTGTCTCAGGACCTTGTCCAGCGCCAGGGCGATCACCCACACGCCGTCATAGGCGTAACCGTGGAAACGGTTCTCAGTCCTTCTGCCGGACACGCGCTCGTGGTACTGCCGCTCGTACTCTGCTGGCGTCTGTATCGTAGGAAACAAACACAGCGTTATGTTATGTTTTGCTGAAGGGAACGTATTGTTTTTGGTGTCTTTCTTCTTCTTCTACTTCTTCCATTCCAAACAAGTAAGGTTTGTCACCATGGCAACTGGTGTTGTAGCAGACACCCTTGTGGTGTTGGTTACATCATGTAGCAAGTTGCAGGACAGAGCTGGAGGTGCTGGTGACTCACTGACAAGCCACACAAGATGCTGCCCAGAGCCATAGCACCAGAGTGCTACCATCATCTGTCCAGATGAAAAGATGCCTACTACTAATACCATCTATCTATCCTTGGCTGATTACTCATATGGCTTACTCTTAGTTTAGAGTTGAGAAAACGAAAGTTCGTCCGCCAGGACATCTTAGCATACATGGCACGTACAACTAATTCCCCAAAATTTTTATTGGAGCAAGGTCATGTGATATACTATTCGCTTACCTTCCCGGAAATTGTCCTGTGGTTACTGGAGCTCCGTTCCAGGAAGTTGGAAACGAGCGCGCCCTCCACAGCCGTGCGCATCTGGTCCCGGGTGCAGTCCGCACTGGCGTTCCACCAGCCCCTGCTGTAGGGTCCGTTCAGAACCCAGGCGTACCGCTTCCCGTACAGGTTCAGTTTGTAAGCCTGGTAGAGATAGAATCAAGGACAGAATGGTTCTACTATATTGACTTGAAATGGGTACAGGATATCATAAAAAAAGTCATCTACTCTTTCATTGGTTTGAGGCAAAACTGCATCGCGCTAATGTAAAGTAATGCATAAATTTTCATAGTCTTCTTCTAGTGACTAGTCTACGTTCATTCCCAATAACATTATTTGCTCCTTTAGCCACAAATAGTTGATCGTTATTGATATCTACCTCACAGAAGACATGTCTGGCCATGGTTTCGTCAAAGAGACCCAGAATGATCCGAGCGTCTGAATCCTGCAAGAAAAGATGGACATTTCATGTTATAACTGAAACTTCCAAAACGATCCATTTGGCATATTCTTGGGCCAGTGTCTTGAAAGCCTTGAGTTCACTCTTGTGTATGATATATTTCAAATTACTTGTTTCTTACTACACCATATATGATGAAGACTACAACAGATATTATTTGCTATGATGAAGTATAAACGTCAGACCTTGATTTGTTTCATCCGCAGCCTGGCAGACTCCACGTCCACGAACCCTTGTGCCGTGAAGTTCATCCCCGCCTTCACAAGCGAACTTTCCAATTGGCTGTGAACCTGGTAAAATGAACATAGTAAACTTAAAGAAGTCATTTTCAATCTATTAAGTATATAATTCTGGGTTCCTTCGTCTATAGAGGCTCTTTTAATCAAGAAGATGGATGTTGAAAAATTAGTTTTTTCTTTACTTTCAATTTTTTAGATTCATTTTTATTGCAGGAGTAACAAAACAACACAAAGAAGTTCCTCGGATAATGACATAAATCAAACAGTAAAAGCAGAAAGAATACTGAAGCAAGATAAGGAAGATCGATAAACTAATTTTGCTTTGTAAATACAATAGTTTTTTCCTTACTATTGCCAGATTTGGCTCGTCCTGGTATAGCGTCGCCACACGTGTCCAGTTGAAGTGCCTCAGCAGCCTCAGTCTGGCCGGGTTAAAGTCCAGGTCAGAGGGCACGGTTCGAAAGAACGTGGGGTACTTCTTCCTGTCGGAGAACTCGGGTGACGTCACGTCGTAAGACAGCTGCGTGAGGTCCCAGTAGGGCGCCGACATGCTGATGAGTGACGTCACACTGGAACACGTGCCTCCGTACAGCATCAGTTTGGGAGGGAGCTGGTACATGGCGTCAAAGAACACTTTGGTTCCTATGGCAGGATCGCACTGGGGAAAGACATGTATGAAAGTCATGAATTCGAAATGGCTTATCTATCCAATAATGCTATCTCTTCATATATTTATTTATAAAAGATTCATATCTATAAAATTCTCTCTCCCTCTATCCCTAGGAAGATCCAGGGTAGAGACTCTGATCTTGTATAGCGAATCTACCGACAGAGATCCCGATCGGAGTCAGTTGCTTAATAGACAGCCAGACCTTTTCAACTTTAATTCATGTTACTTTATATCAATGACGGTGGATAAAGATAGTCCTTTCATATCTCATGAGATAGCTAAGAAAATATGAATCTGTTAGCATCCAATAGTATTTTTGTAGCAGCTCAGGTACAATGTAATGGTAGAATCTGCCTGTCCGGTCTGCCTGCCTTGCTCAGAATCAACTAGCCATGATATCCATAGATAGTATCCGCCATTTCTGTAGGCTGTTTATCCCTCTCCTATCTTCCCTCCTCACGTCAGCCCCATAATCACTCAGTCCAAATCCCAGTCGTACAATTATCGACTATCTATCACCACCGGGGGCCCAGCATCTATCTAGCTCTAACTGGCCACTAGAGGATACTATCTGGAGAGAACTGAAAAAAACTCAAGTGGGCGGTAAATGTTGTTTTGTCTTGCAGCTAGCTATACGCTGATTGATGTGGTAGTAACAGATAGGCAATTTTGAAATTTGAAACAAGAACCTGCTGTTTCAGATTTGGCGAACGATGTGTATGTTCTCATACTTCATTCAAGTCTTGGATAATACTTGTGGTGGGCTGTGCTGCAGCAGTTAGCTGATAATGATCAGGTATCGTCTATTCCTGCCCTGGTATGCATCTGGCTACTGCAGTCTTAATGGTATTGGATGGCCTCCATAAGGCCGTATACAGATTTATCATCGTGAGGCAAAGCATGCAAACTTTACATTATAGAATTTACTTGATAAAAGCATTTATAGCTAGAAATATCACTCCAGAAGCTGGTGTGTTACGCCGAAGGGCGGTTATACCGGATTACCGGCTGTACAGATACAGATACCAATTGGGACTGAATTTGCAAAGAAGCAAATCCCAGTCAGTGGCAACAGCACTGCGACATCACGTACAGTTATGAACATCATCGCACGTTTCTGAACATACATGATAACCCATTTGGCACATTTTGATAGACATGAAAATCAGTATGCCGCTCGTGTTTGGCATCACAAGTCGACTGCTTGTAATGTATGCTCTGAAGATTCTCCCAACACAAATTATGCCTGTCCCTGACCACATCCGGCCACGGCGGCTCCTGAAAAAGGATGAGAGATTAGCGCATCAGATGTCTCCTGCCTGGTATGGTGATGTGGAAAATCCCCTGATCACTCACGCTGTAACCTTGCATTCATGCGTCCTGCATGCGACTACATTTGACGGCTTATTCAGGGACCGGTACCGCAGCAGTATGAATAATGTGGTTTTACTTCACATCCATACTTTTATCCAGCATATCCCTTCAAGCCTTACATACAAGCCTTAAATGCCTACGTTTCTAATGACTCTATTATTGCAATTAGTAGTAAATAATGTCATATATGTATCTGTATCTATATAGCCGGTATAACCGCCTTTCGGCGTAACACACCAGCTTCTGTATCTGTTCTATTCTATTCTATAAATACTGAGCAAAGCCCTATCTCGGGCATCTCGCTCAGGCTGTATAGCCGGTATAACCGCCTTTCGGCGTAACACACCAGCTTCTGTATCTGTATAGCCGGTATAACCGCCTTTCGGCGTAACACACCAGCTTCTGTATCTGTATAGCAGGTATAACCGCCTTTCGGGGTAACACACCAGCTTCTGTATCTGTATAGCAGGTATAACCGCCTTTCGGCGTAACACACCAGCTTCTGTATCTGTATAGCCGGTATAACCGCCCTTCGACGTAACACACCAGCTGTTATCTACCTTTAACCTAATATTTTTGAAATCTAATTTTTCATTCAATCTATTTTTTGTCATTAGTAAATAATGTCGTATCTTCTCTCACATTAACTTAATATTTTCACAACCGAACCAGTGAAATGAAATTCACAGAATTTGATATCATAATCTGATTAAGGTGATGCCCTAGGAAGTTATCTTAGCCATAGGTTTTCTCTCTTCACAACTTTTCACAAAGTTAGGTTATCCTTAATGTTACCGCTTTTTTTCTTAATTTTCTGTAAATGAACTGGAAAGCATTGACGGTAACGTTATATCCACACAAATGGAATTGACGCAGATAGGAGTAACGTAGAATGTTTACCAAAGGCCTATTTCACGTTTTCATCCCTAATGATATCATCGTTAAATGCTGTTAACGTCTTACACTATGAGAGTTAGCGTTTCATGCGTACATCAAAGAGGAATAACAAAGTTTTCCGATGTCAACGCAAGTCTTTGATCCAACCTCACGTGGACACTCAACTCGAAGCTAATCAACTCGTTTTTTTTTTCATTTCCTTATCTTTACGTTTTAATCTCCCATGATATCATCGTTAAATGCTGTTAACGTCGTACTCTAAGTACTTAACGTATCATGTGTACATCAAAGAGGAAAAAGTTCTGAGATGTTCAAACGAAGTCAACGGAAGTCTTTGATATAACCTTCGTGGACACTCAGGCTAATCAACTCAGGTTTTTCATTTCCTTATCTCTGAAACGTCCCACCCTATTCTAGTCATCTGAAGTTCTTTGAACAGATGAAGGCAACCATTACTCGGAGCAGAGGCGTGTGCTGCAGTGATTGCTTGTTTCGTGCTTGACCAAGCGTGGACGCCTGCCACATTATAACAGCTGTGTCCTCAGGTTATAGCAGTCAGGGAAATCAACTCTTCACCTCGTCTGGGTGATCCAACCAGGTCAACACCACAATCATTAATGTAGAACTGTACAGACCCAAAGAGTAAACCTTAGCAAAGAAAATCTTGTGGGAGATGAAACACACCCTTGAAAAGTTCTAGACAGCTAACCCTATATCTATATGTGTTGCATATTATGTATTATGTGTACAATCCATTATGTGTACATGCTACAAATGTAAGAAACGTATTGACAAAATCAGTACGGAAGGGCTTATATTAGAAGCTATGTGTCATCAAAAACCAGGATAAATATGAACGAAAACATAAGGATAACATACGAAACCCGTTACATTTACTCTTATTTTGTAGTCATAGCAGGTGTGTAAGATTGATACTGCAGTGATATCACAAGAGGAAAAGCTGTTTGTAGTGAATTCCATGCTACACAACTCTTCATGATTAACGGTCTGCCTGGGGGTGTTTGTGCGTGAAATCACTACTCACCTGAAAATGTCAAAAGCAGTACTTTTACAGCTAGTTAACTACCGTGCCATAACAGATATAAAAGTAACTTGGAGCATGAAAAGATATTGAATATTCATTATACATCTCTATAGAGACTATAGTAATGATACAGCTGTCAAATGTTACCATCGCGAGCCAACATCAAAATGTATGCAGGCAAAGATTAGTACTTTTCCTTCCGCGTAACGGCATTAAATATATGGAGATGAAGGCAACCAATATTCATGGTACATCTAGACTATAGTAATGATACAGCTGTCTAATGTCAGCTAACATCAAAATATATGCAGGCAAAGATTAGTACTTTTCCTTCCCCGTAACGGCATTAAATGTATGAAGATGAAGGGAACCAGAACGCACGTCAGCTTGCCACTGTAGATAAGCTTCTTTGCTGAATTGAATTACATTAATCAGTAACACAGCGTGTACTGTATGCAGCCGATACCGTACCGGCATCGACTCTAAGGCACGTAAGCTAAGACTCAATCTTCCCCTACGTGCTAGCGGGATAAATCCTTACTCAGAATATTCCGCACAAGGAAATTATACAGAGACATGATTGTAGGCCTACGGATGGGTTGTACAGTCTTGGGACGGCACATTCTATACATCAGGCTGGTGTAACGGGCTGAGATATAGAGGTCTTCACACAGCGGGTGTACCCCAGTGTAGGGTTTTGAAAAGAGCAGAGGCTATAGAAGAGGTCTGCACTATGTGGCTGCTTGCTGGAACTCTCTTCTCAGACACTGATCTCAGTCCTTTATTCATAACTTATCGGTTATAGATGTGGTCAGTCCATGGCAACTTCCTGTCAGAGGAGGCAGCGTCCTAAAACACATTGCTACATTGGTGCAGTGTCTTCGCAGGCTGTCTAGAATTGCTGCTGCCCAAAATCGATCGGTTACACAGAATGTAAGAGCTGGGATCAGGGAAGGATGCTTGATGCAAATGAGTTAGAAGTTGTTATCCCCAATGGCTGTACTCTAATGCATTGTACATGTGTCCAATAGCAGACATCACCATAGGGTATATACAGGCTGGTCTGACTGCATCAAGCTTCTAGCAGCCCTCCTACTAGTCAGGCCTCTAGAAGCTTGAGGGCCAACACATCTTAATCCTGTTCGAACAATTATTTCAGATTAAGAACTGTCTATTACCATAGTGTTGGAGGCTGTGGTTTCCATAGTGACAGAAAATCCTGAGCTCCTATTGGACTGACTTTCATAGAGGTGAAGAATCTTTTAGAAGAATCCTATATAGTATTGGTAGTTCTCGGATTGGGAATGGTTTTCTAAGCTTAGAGGCCAACTTAGCGCCTTGGAGTTCAGACATTATGTAACAGGAAAACTTTCAATTGGGCTGATTTTCATAGTGATAAATAGAATCTTAAGCTCCTATTGTTGGTATTTGGGTTTGGAATGGTTTTCCTTAGAGAAGAGGCCAACTTATCCCCTGACAGCGAGTTTAGAAATTGTGTAACATGACAACCTTTAATTGGACTGATTTTCATCGTGATAAAAAGAATCTTTTAGTGGTACTTGGATTCGGAATGGTTTTCCTTAGAGAGTAGGCCAACTTAGGCCCCTGACAGGTAGTCTAGACATTTTGTAACGCAGGCTGATGTACCACCCTGCAAAAAACTTTCCATTCA